CTCGTCATCCTGCCATAAAAAAATTGTCAGAAGTCATCGACTTGAAACACAATTGTGGATTTTTGACAATGGTTCATTTGAACCAACAGGGTGATTTGAATCAGTGCAATTCATATTTTAAAGAAGTCAATAATTATTTTGAAAGCAATAACAGCATGGTCAATTCTTGGATAGACAGTCAAGTGATAAATAAAGAGGAATCCCAAGTACCAAGTCCTGTAAACGGTTTGACAAATCAAAATTTTGCCAGTATATTAGAAGAAGAATTAAATAATTTAGAAAAAAATAAAATGGAATCGAGTAAAGAGAAATCAATGAACGAAAGAAGAGAAAACAAAATTGATAAAGAATTGTCTGGGTGGACATTGTTGGATTGTGATTTTGGAATTCCTTTATTCAATGCAACTACGAATGAGCAAGTGTGTAAAGCAATTTGTGATCATAAATTATGGGCTAAATCGAGGTGAGTCAAAATTATTTTGTTTCCTAATTTAAATTAATCATAAAAATTTACGCTAAATTTCTTTTTTTTTTTTTTTTTTTCAAGTTTGGACTTGTTAAAAGAGAGCGGTGGATCTCTTTCTCTCAAGTTACTAGATTTTATTCATAAATTACAGGTAATTAACGATTTGATTTGACTTTGCAATCATTTTAGCATTCATTTTTTTTTTAATCAAATACAATTTTTTCTTTTTTAGGATAGTCCAGACTTAACAGATTTAAAACTAGAAGAAACAAATGAACCATTGGCAACATTATTACCTAAAAGAAATTTGATTTTTCACGATGGAAAATTAAATTTATTAAACAGACAAAGTAAAATTTTTTAATTTTAAATTACAAGCAAAAAAAAAAAAAAAAAAAAGAAAATACTATGGGTCAATATTGAAATAATGGAGTTATTTACTCGATACCTTACTTAATAAGTAGTTTTTGTTTAGGTGCTTTTATGAGGGTCTATTAAATATATATAATTTTTTTAGTATTTAACAAATAAATTGTGGGATGGTAGTAGTTTTTAAAATTCAAATATTTTGTCAAATTACCATATACAATTGTGCAATAATTAATGAATATTAGATTTAAAAAAAAAAAAAAAAAGTAATTGTTGAATCAGTAAATATTGCCAAGTTTTTTTTTTTTTTTCAAATAAAATACTAAAAACTAATTGCAGTACAAATTTATATGGCTAATGGTTAGTTTCGAGAGGTTAGTTTTGAATTAAAAATTAGTAAAACTTAGCATTTAATCAGTGCATTTAAAAAGGGAAAATTTTTGTAATAATAATAATAATAATAATAATGATAAAGATAAATAAATAAAAATTTTTTAATGCTTTCATTCCGTAAAAAATTCATATCATATGCATAAATAAGTAGTAGTAGTAGATAAAATCTTAGTTTAAAATATTTTTTTTTATATATTGTAATTATTATTATTATTATTAAAATGTAATGTGTAAAAACTTAAAGAAAATATTTTATAAGAATTATTTATTTAAATTTTTTAATAATAATAATATTATATAAGAGGCAATCAAACTTATTTAAAAGAATTTAAAAAAAATTCATCGATCTTCCATAAATAAATATTTGCCACTGCTATTTGAAATGTTTCATTTTTTAGTTTGAAGTGCCTTGTGATTCTTTTTATATAAAATTTAGACACTTGTAATTAATTAATTAATTAATTAATAAAAAATTGTCAAATGTAGTTAAGCACAAACATTTTTTAAATGTGAAAAAAATTAAAATAAAAAAAAATGTAAGCAACTTAATATATATATTTATTATCGGTAATTATTTAAACTTGTAGAAATTTATATTTATATATTAAATATTACTTATGTTCATATATATATATATATATATATACTGACATTGTCATTTTTAATAAATGATCAATTTGTTAAAAATAATTTTTATAAAATTAAATGTATTAAATTTATTAAAATCGATTTTCTAATAGTTTTTCTTATTTTTTTACCCTTGCTTATATTATTCGATGATAAGTTTATATAGAAGACAAAAAAGATTATAATCAATAAAATAATTTATTGCTTAAAATACTTTTACAATCAATATTCTTAAATTTGATACTTTTAAACATTATCGATTTTTATTTCGCTGAGAGTTTAGTATTTAATAATTAGCTTAAAAAATTGCTCTTTTAGTTGTTAAAGTTTTACAATTTGATTAAAACAAGTTTGAAAGTTCTTAAAAATTAATAATTTAAAAAAAAATAAGGAATGAATAGCATGAAGTCAACAAAATTTACTTTTCATTTTTTTGGCAATTTTTAAATCACTTTAAGAAATACACAAGTTATTCAATCTGATAAATGACATCGTTGAAATTTACAAGATTGTGCTTTGGAAAGATGAGGCACTATTAGTTCATTTCAGAAAAATTATCTAGCATCAAACACAACAACTCTTTTTGTTCTTTTTTTGTACATTATTCTATATCCACACTCACGACAACGAATAGGATCTCTGGGTCTAATTTCATTTTCATGCCGGCATTCTAAAATTATATTTTCTTTTGTAGATATATAATAAAAATCACGTTTTAATAAAATAATTATTGACTTACCTCCACAAATGTAAACCATTGGAGTTTTAACTGCCGGTGTATCTTTACTCTGATCCATTTTTATAATAAATTATTATTTTTTTTATTATTTAAAAAAAAAAAAAAAAAAACGAAAAAAAACGAAACCTATACAATAAGTATCTCTAACGCAAACGAAATGCTTCGAGTAATACTTTGCTTACTAGTTACACTTCAAACGTGTACGTAGATTTTTGTCGAAGATTTATCAAATACAATTTTATGGAAGGATGTTAATGTGTCCTAAGCATTTTTTTATATTAATACATATTTAAAACGGTATTTATTTATTTAAAAAAAAATTTTTTATTTCAATGATTTTTAACATGATTCGCACTAATATTTTATTTGCTTAATTTTAAATAATTCTTGGCCTTTCGCTTTTATTTTCGATTCAAATGTTACAGGGATAGTCGGGAAAAATAATTTTAATGTTATTTTATGTAACTCATTGAATGCCTTAATCACTGAAATATATAAAAATGTCAGAAGTCGACAAATGGATTGAAATTGCCAAACAATGTAAATATCTGCCGGAAAATGATCTTAAGGTGCGTGCTAGTTTTTTATATAATACTTTTTGACCTTAGAAATTTTATGGATTGTAATTTTAAAAGGGTTTAAACAATAATAATAATAATTATTATTATTTTACATGTTTTCATTTTAGAAATTATGTGATTTGGTTTGTGACATTTTAATAGAAGAATCTAATATACAACCGGTTTCTACACCTGTAACAGTATGTGGAGATATTCACGGGCAGTTTTATGATTTAGAAGAGCTTTTTAGAAATGGTGGAGCTGTACCTGATACTAGTTATATTTTTATGGGTGATTTTGTCGATAGAGGATATTATGGATTAGAAACATTTACAAGACTGCTTACTTTAAAAGCAAAATGGTCTGAAAAAATAACATTGCTTAGGGGTAATCACGAGTCGAGGCAAATAACTCAAGTGTATGGATTTTATGGTAATTTACTTACTTTTTTTAATCCATAACCGATTTCATTTGCAAAAGTTTTTAAAAAATAACTTGATGTTTAATTTTACAGATGAATGTCAAAGTAAATATGGTAATGCCAATGCTTGGAAATACTGTTGCAAAGTTTTCGACTTTTTAACTGTCGCTGCTGTAAGTCATTAATCAAAATTAATTATTATTATTAATTGTACTTACAGTATAAGTTTTTGAAATCGTTTATTTTAGCTTATCGATGAGCAAGTTCTTTGTGTGCATGGAGGATTATCACCTGAGATTCAAACCCTCGATCAAATTAGAACAATTGAAAGAAACCAAGAAATTCCTCAAAAGGGTGCTTTTTGTGATTTAGTATGGTCAGATCCGGATGAAATTGAATCTTGGGCAATGAGTCCCAGAGGTGCTGGTCATTTATTCGGTCCAACTGTTACATACAATTTTATGCATGTAAATAGTTTATCTCTGATATGCAGAGCCCATCAGTTAGTTCACGAAGGTACTTGGAATGATTCATTTCCATAAATCGACTTCTTGCAACATAAACATCATTTCCATATTAAATTTAGATATCTTTTACAGGTTTTAAATACATGTTTGATGATAAACTAGTTACAGTGTGGTCAGCTCCTAATTATTGTTATCGATGTGGCAACATTGCATCAATCCTCGAATTTAAAGATGTCAACACAAAAGAGCCAAAATTATTTCAAGCCGTGCCTGATTCAGATCGTGTAATTCCTCCCGTAGCTATGATACCTTACTTTTTGTGATCCTTTATTAATTTTAAAAAAAATACAAAAGGTACTACCTACAAAATGATTTTCTGGTATAATTACATATAAAAAAAAAAAAAAAATTAAATAACAATATCCAATTCCGTGCCATACGAATACGGTCAAGTTAATATTTATACCTCTTTATATACCTATTCCCAATTTTTTTTTTTTTTTTTAAAAAAAATACAAAATCAAATTTTTTTTCTCCATAAAATCAGCCTTTCTATAATAACTATCTTCTGTAATAATCAGTCATCATTATTATTATTATTATTATTACGATTAAAAAATTTTAAAATAATAAAATATAATAAAAAAGTTCCTCGTCAAAAATGATAAGAAAAATAAAAATATATATTATCACATTATATTTTGTGTGAACTAATATACTGTAAATTATAAAGAAATAAATGAAATAAAAAAAAAAATTTAATTGATAATTAAATTAATAATGCCTTTAACCACAAACTATTATTATTATTATTATTTTTTTAAATGCAATCCATATTAAAATTAATTTAATTTGACGGGTTATCAATAATAATAAAAAAAATTCACAAAATAATCAAATAAAATAAAATTTGTTGGTGAAATTTTCCTTTCCCCCCCCCCCCCTCTCTCTCTCTTATCATCATGACAGATATTTGTCTCATCAATAATAATAATAATAATAATGTAAACAATACGTTTCATTCAATTTAATTTCTCAAAAAAAAAAAAAAAAAAAAAAAAAAAAACCGCTCAGTTTTTCCTTTATTTATTTATTTATTTATTTTTAAATTAATTGTTATCATCAATCAATAAGAGAATTATTATTATTATTATTATTAATTAAAAACATTTTTAGTTTAAAAAAAAAAGAAAAAGAAAAAAGAAAAATTTTTTTTTTTCTCCCATTATTTTCATTTTCTTTTTCATTACAAATTTTACCATTTTTTCTTTTTTTAAATTACACAAACGTGATCATGGGTCGAAAGAAATGATTATTAATTAATGTAAAATAATAATAATAATAATAATATACATTTAAAAAAAAACCAATTAAAAATAATAATAATAATAATAATAGGGTTAAAAAAAGAGAAAAAAAAAAAAAAGAAAAGAAAAAACTTTTACAACTTAATGGACCCAACCAACCAGGTCTCAACTCCCCAAACGATTTCCCTTCTCTCTCCCTCCCTCCCTCTCCCTCTGTCCCTTCTTTCGACAATTATTTTACACTAAATTCGTACACAATTAAAATTAAAAAAATCAAAGAAAAGAAATAAAAATTAAAGTTATTTAAAGGGGGAGGGGAGGAGCAGAATATATTTTTTTTTTTTGGAAATCTCTTGTTCCGCCCTCTCCCCCTCCCCACCTCCTTTTTTTTCTTTTAGAAACTTGATTAAAAAGAGAAAAAGAGAAAAAAAAAAAAAAAAACATTTAAACCGACAACATTAATATTAAGCTTAACTTTTAAAAAATGATTGATAATAATAATAATAGTAATAATAGTAATAATAATAATAAAAGTGCATCTATTTGAATCAGCAAAAATGTGTCATCATCATCATTATTACATTAAGTAATCCTTTTTTTTTTTTTTTTTTCTTTTCATTTTTCTTAAATCCTTTTAAAAACCAATTAAAAAAAAAAAAAAAAAAAATTACAACACTAAGTTTAATAATCATTGAATTCATTTTTTTTTGCTTTTCCTTTTTTCCTTTTTTCCTTTTTTCCCTTTTTTTCCCTTTTTCCTTTTTTTTTTTTAATTTTGATTTTTAATATATAATTTGAGAAACCGTCGAAAATGAAAAGAAATGAGAAAGTCGACGCGTTACGAGTTTCCCTCCCCCTTCCCCCCCCCGCAAATATCGTTTGAATTGAAAATAATAATAATAATAATGATGATAATAATAAAGCCAGTTTTTGTTCAAATTTCCCCCTCCCTCCCTTCCTACCCTCTTTCTCCCTCTCTCTAAATTTCTAATATTATTAATATTTTTCTTCAATTCATCGATCGTGTAAAGATCACGTGGCGACGACATCATTTCCCACGTGTGAAAAATCAACAATGAAAATAATAATAATAATAATAATAATAATTGGTCGGGGAACGAGTGATAATTTCCAATCAATCAACAATCGATTAATATTCTACGATTAAAGTTTACTTTAAAAAAAAAAAAAAAAAAAAACTTTCTTTGTTATTTCTTCTCGACGGTTTGGCTTTTTAAATTAAAAATCAAAATCCCCCCGCTCCCCCCCCCCAAAAAAAAAAGAAAAAGACAAAAAAAAAAGGAGTAAAGAAAACACGTCTAATCTTCTTTTTCATTGTCATCTTTTTTCAACGGAGATCGGCTCCTTGATTTCGACTTCCCTTTGCTTCCCGAATGGGAACGAGAGCGATCCCTAAAAATGTACAGAAAAAACGATATCAAATCAATTACGTCATCGAGGAAAACAAAAAAAAATCCCCCTACGAAATTCAACTTGACCCGACCCGCCCCGCCCCGCCCCCCTCCCACCATCTTTCTCTTACGTATCATCATCATCATCATCATTATCATTACTTACTTGGAAACTGATCCATTTTTGGGTTTCGATTCCGATCTGGATTTTGATCTGTTATTTTTTATAGGAGACTTGGATTGAGACCGCGATCTCGACTTCGATCTGTTATTCCTAAAAGTGTGAGAAAAACATTTTAAAAAAAAAAAAAAAGCAGAAGAAAAGCAGAAGAAAAAAAAAAAAAAAAAATTTTTATATAAAACTCACTTGGATTTGGATCGAGATCTATCGCGACTTTTCGACCGGGAAGCGGATTTGGATCGACCTCTCGATTTGGATTTCGAACGACTGCTTCGTCTGCTACTCCTGCTCCTCCGACTCCTACTTGATCTATTGATAATATAGAAAAAGACAACAAATTAAGTAAGACACGTTTCCCATACCCCCCTCTACCTCTCTACCTCTTTCTCATCCATCTTATTATACACCTTTCACAAGGTAAAAAAAAAAAAAAAAAACAATACAAAAAACAATAATAATAATAATAATAATTCTCGGCTAAACGGAGAATTTATTAAAAACCTATATTAAATAAAAAAATTTTGCTCTTATTAAAATGAACTAAAAAAAAAAAAAAAGAAAATTAATAAACCACGTGACACACTTTAATAAAAGCAAAATAATAATTAAAAATTAATAATAATTAAAAAGATTTTTTTTTCAATATAATTTCTCATAAATCAATTCAATTCATTTTTGTTTCCAAAATTTATTTTGAAAAAAAAATCTTTTAAAAAAAAAAAAATTCTTAAAAACTAAAAAAATGGACGACGCCGCGTTCCTGGTTGTTTTTTATTAATAATAATAATAATAATAATAAATAAGCCAAAACCAAAACGAATCTGCCAAAGCAATGCCAAATATTTCACATTTTTTTTTGGGGGGATGTGAGGGAGGGAGGGGGGGGGGGCAAAAAATGTACCTAGTGCCATTATGATGATGATGATATATATATGTAAGCCATAATCATTTCGTCAATTTACATTTGTAGAATAATTTTTCTGTTTGTGTTTGTGTGGAGGGAGGGAGGGAGGGGGACGGGGGTGTGCCTGTGGCCTGGGGCTCGGGGGGCGAGTCAAAATTTACTTTCTTGTAAAAGTAACGGGACGGAACTGAAATTTTTTTTTTTCAGTTTCAACAAAAAGGGTATAAAGTTTTGTTTTTTAAATGACCCATTTTTTTTTTTTTTTTTTTTTTTTTTTTTTTTTCCGTAGACCCATCGGAATCCCATCCAACTCCATTTTGCAAAATCCTTTCTTTCCATCATCTCTCCTCCTCCTCCTCCACCTCCTCCTTCCTTCCTTTAATCAAAAGACAGTTTCTTCATCACACAGCTCACCACACCACCTCGAAAAAACACTGACAAATTATATATTATCAAAGTTGTTTTTAGTGAGCTTTTCTTTTTCTTTTTTGTTTTTGTTCATTTTTTACAAAAAAAAAAAAAAAATGAATAGATAATAATAATAATGTAGAAACATTTTTTACATGCAAACCCATATACGTATCGTATATAGGTATGCAGAGCGGGAGCCAAGGAATAATAATAATAATTTACGCAAGTACGGACGCACGCAGACATTTTTTACGCGCGCACGTACTCTCGAAGAACCCAATTTACCCAGGTAACAAATACCTTGATCGAGAACGAGATCTCGAATGCGACCCGCTAGATGATCGAGATCTTCGACGTCTACTCTTATCTTCTATAAGACGAATTTTCCGTCCGTTTAATTCGGTTCCATCCAATTTGTCGATTGCCGCTTTCAAATCCGAACTCGAACTAAATTCGACAATCCTACATAGAAAAAAAAAAATAAAAAATAATAATAATAATAATAATAATTCAGTTATAAATCATTTATCGATTATCATTATCATTTTAAATTCATTTCAATAAATAAATTCGTCAGATAAATTTTTATGCATCAGAACTTTCAGCCCCGAGAGATAAATTAATAATCATCATTGAATATGCTACCATTTATTTATGTAAACGACATTTCAACGCGATTCCAATGCGTAAGAGAGAGACAGACGAAAAATAAATAAATAAATAAATAATAATAATGATAATAATAAAAACTCACCCTTCGTTTCTCCGATTCTTGTGAGCATCGGCGTAAGTCACTTCACCAGCTTGACGCATGTAATCTTTCAAATCCTGAAGAAAAAAATTTAAAATATGAACATAAAATGAAAATCAAATTTTCCTTTTTTTAAATTATTTTTTTGGGGGGAAGGAAAATCAAACGAAGAGAAAAAATATTAAAAAAAAAAGAAAAAAAAAAAAATTTTAAATCCACAATAGAAAATCAATCAACTCAATGTATCTCTCAATACCCAGATTCAACTGATTATAAACGATTATAAAGTCCTCTCTGCGTGTGTGTGTGTGTTTGTGTCCAACAATTATTATCATTATTATTTTTTCTTTCATTATTTTCATTTTCGTTGTTATTATTATTATCATTATTTTTTTTTTTTTTTAAAAATAGCCAAGACGTGAACTTAAATATACAGCCTGGTGGTGGAGAAAGGGAAAAGAAAAAAATTTTTTTAGGATTTTTGATTTTTAAAAGAGAGAGCCAAAAATGTATGAAGAAACAAACAATAAATGTTTGCTATGGATATTTAAAAAACAAACAAAAACAAACAAACAAACAAACAAACAAACTAAAAGAAAAGATGATAAAAAAAAAATAACAAGAATGTCTAATTAATGAACGTTTGCACTTTCAATTATAATATAATGGTAATGATGATGATGATGATGATGATGGTGATGATGAAAAGAATAAGGGTGGGAAAAGGATAAAAATTTATGACACGTGTATGATTGACGAGTGTGTCACGTGTGTGTGGTTCTTTGTTCTTTCGGCAAAAAAAAAAAAAAAAAAAAAAAGAAAATAAAAAAAAAAAAAAAAAATAAAAACCGAAACGAGTAATCGAAGCAACCAACCCTCGCGGCCCAACGCTTTGTGTTAACTTATTTTGTTTTTTTTGGGGGGGGCAAGGGGGAGGGGGGACAATGTGTGACATGAAAATCATACTTGAATTATGTGAACAGGTAAGAAATTTACCTTTTTTCAGTCATTGAACTAGTGGTAATGGTACGACCGATCATCTAGACCAGGCTGGTTTAAGTCGTCAAAGGGGAACTTTTTGAGCTTTGAACGGTCCCTCGGATCCCGATTCGGATTGAATTTTTTGATTACTTTGAGCCCTTGGAGCCAGTTGTGCGTCAACTTCCCACCATTCTTGTTGACCTACTTCCATATTGGTTTTACTTTTTTTTTTTTTTTTATTTTTCCGAAACTCTGTCTCTCTGTGTTTTACACACACTCTCTCTCTCTCTGTGTGTTTCTCTTTCTCTCACGCTTTTTCACCCGACATAAAATATGTTTATGTCGCTCTACATAAAAAACTGATGTTAAGGAGGAGGAATTTACAAAATGTGTAATAAAAATGTTATAGGACTAAAAAAGGAAAACAGGTTTGGAAAACGTTTTCCTTGTATTTCGGTTCCTTAGGCTGTTTGTAAGTATGTGTCCACCTCTGCCGGACGGGGGCCGAGTGGTTCAGTGGGCGACCGAATCCCGAATCCCCGGTCTTCCGATGGCCCAGAGTGGCTTCCTTCTTTCAAGGATTTCGATCTCCACATCTTACGGGATAGTCAACGACTGAATGGGATAGCGTCTTCGCACCAGGCCCGGGATTGCGTCAGTCATCTCTTTTTAGGTATATGCCCCTCTCAGCCATCGTCTGCGACGAGAGCTATGCTCTTTAGACAAAAAGATCCACATCATTTTAAAACACACTTTTTATACATTTTTTTTTTTTTTAATTTTTTTTTTTTTTAATTTGTGATAATACAATTACGATAAGAAACTGCACTAAGGTCAATGGCAGGTCAATCCTAAGGATTGTTTATTACCACCCCCTCCCCAACCCCAATCGAAAACAACGAAATTTCTCTGCAAATATACTCTAAATCTCAAAAATCCTTTTTGTTTTCAACTTCTAACCCGAAAAAAAGAGATACTCATGTTAGTGCAGTTTCTCTTTCCTTTCAACTACATATTTTACACCCCCCATTTTAATGAAGATGAACTGAATTCTTCTTCACAATGTAAGGTCACGAGGATTTATGGTAAAAAGACAGCGGAATAATAAAATAAAAAATTTCTTACCTGCCAACTTACACGACTCGACAGATTTTCAACGATGAGACGGTATTCGGTTCTCGTCGGCGGCCCATACCTGTCAACGACCAAATCAAATTTAATTTAAATGCTCCCTCAAAACGTTAGATAAGTGCTATTCCAAAAGCGATTTCTAACCCCCCCCCCTTTTTTTTTTTTTAAATTTGGGTATATAAAACTATTATTATTATTATTTTTCATAACCCACTTTTGGTTTAACACATTTTGGATTTTTTTTAACACACATCTCATTGATATTTGACTCACCTGTCGCTTCCGCGTCCCCTATCCTCTCTGGAAACAAAAAAATATAAAAACATAAGAACAATCTTGTAATGACAAAGGCAACAGAACAAACCGGACGAACATGAATCGACGATATCTGGAATCTGAAAAGCTTGAGCTAAATATTTATTTTGCAGAGAAATTCGTCTTGCTAAAAATTGGCTTGATTAAACACATAACACAAAAAAGTACTCGAGGTTGATCGATATTGATTCTTTTGATTGATTTGATTGTTGGGTGGTTGGAGATTGGCTTTGACTCATTGAATTGGCTTGGATTGGCTTTGTGCTTTTTGGCATTGGCTTGTATGTGTGTGTGTGTTGGCTTTGCTTTGGCTTTTTTCATTTTGGATATCGAAGTTGGTTAAACACGCTAAAAATCAAATTTTGTGCAAAGTTTATACAAAAAAAAAAAAAAAAAAAAGGCCTCGCTATCGATATGAGTCGTCACCAACTAATAAACAGTGCACACTTGTGAATGCAACAACTTGATAATCGAATAATAAACCCGCGCACGTCTCTACCACTCATAAGACCTCATGATAATTTAGGATATGTTACATTCAAAAGTATTTAGCACAAAAGCAACAACTAACTGAGCCATTGAGAAATGCCTTATTAATCTTTTCTACTAATAATTATTATTATTATAAAACCCATTTTTGTTTGTTTTTGTTTCGTATTTCCGGGACTTTATTTATTTCGATATCAATTTATTAATGAAAACAAACCAGGAGGGCGCCATTCAATTAAGATTTAACGCCTCTTACTTCCTGTCCCGATCACGATCATATCTATCTCTATCCCGGTCCCTGTCCCGACGATCGCGGCTTCGCCTGCGAGGGGGAGGCCCGAACCGACCGTATCGGTCTCTATCTTTCCAACGGTCACTTCCCCGCGGAGTCCCCCGTGCTCGTTCAACTGACACTCTGTAAACACAGTAATTTCTTCCATCAGTGAGCTTGTTTATATAATTTAAAATTCTACTAACCTGTCCCAACGCCTTCTTCCGAATCCACCGCCACCGTAACGATCTCTACTCCTTCGACTTCTATCTGTTCCTCTGGCATGTTCGACTATAACGCTGGAATTAAGGCAAACTCTTTTTTCATTTTACAAATCCCAATGAGGGTTTTTTAATTAAAAAAATAAATATGTTTTTTGTTCGATGAACTACGAAGGTGACGGTGATCTACTCCTTACATTTTTGATATTTTATACAAAAAAAAAAAAATGTTAAATACAAATGAAGCAAAATTTTCTTTTTTTCCCAATAATTTCTTTGCTTCATTTCACATTTAACGCAAACTTGCAATGTGCAAATTTTTTTTCTAAGCATTTTTAAAATTTGTCTTTTATTAGCGCTGCGGTTGTAATAAAATACTTTTCGTTTTTGAATCGTCTACCTAGTAGATTAATAATTAATTAAATTATACAACACACGCACACGCACACGCACGCACAACATACATTTACAAGAGATTTTAAAGAATTATAAACTTTTTAAGTTACAATTATAAAATTAAATGAAATCATTCGCCACGCTCAAGACTACGCAGAATTCGTTTTAACATAAAAAAAAAAAGTTAAAAAGGTTAAAATTTTTAGAAAGCAACCATTTTTTTTTTTTTTTTTTAAAATTATTAATTCGATTGCCGAGTAAATCATTTAGAGGATTCCTTGGTGGTACAACATACCTGAATTTACGTCGAATCATATTACGATTCAACTGTTTCCAAAAACTTTTTTATTTTTATTTTATTTTATTACTCATTTATAACTTCCTTATTATTTATTGCAAAGAATTGAAAATAATAATAATAATAATAATAATAATAATAATAATGATACGTTTATAATCAAATTTCGTATTAAAAAAATTTTTTTTTCTTTTTTTTTTTCGTGGCAAGTAAATACAATTCAAACATGACAAACATGATTTGAACAACAAAAAAAAAATTATACAAAAGTGTAGGAGTTTTTAAATTTGCATGTGGGAAAAAAAAAAGAAACTTCAACAACATTTTTAATAACAAAATCTTTTAAAAAAAAAAAAAAAACCGGCTCGGCTTTAAAGTTCCTTTTCTGCCTACATCTTCAATTTATTTATTATTTCTACTTTCTAATGTTAATCACCTCAACAACAACAACAACAAAAAGATGATTTCATTAGGAAATAACAAAAAGTCACGTATATATACAAAAAAAAAAAAAAAAAGTTGATGGTTTTTTAAAAATTATTGAAAAAAAAAAAAAAAATAAAGTTAATAATTCTTTTGCATCTAAACATGCAACAAAACACGCTAAAGGTTATTATAAAGTTTTTTTTTTTTTTTTTTTAGATTTCACTAAAAGCAAAAAAAAATTTTCTCTTTTTTTTTTTTTTTTAGTAAATTTTTCTAAAGCCATTTTTTAATTTAATTAATTAATTAATTTTCTTTCTTTTCTTTTTTTTAGAGAAAACAATTTAAAAGTACTTACCGTTCTCCCAACAGATCCTTTCCATTTAATTCATAAACAGCATCATCCGCATCCCTATAATCATCGAATTCCTTAAAAAAAGAGAAAAGAAAAAAGAAAAATTTTAATTAAAACAATTATTATTATTATTATTATGATGGTGCTTTCATTTTACAATTTTGTAAATTTCCAACCAAGCGAAATACTACCAGGAGTATATTTTTAATAAAAAAAAAAAAAAAACTGCGGGGGAAACTTACAAACCTATAATAATAATAATAATAATAATGAAATAAATAAATGTTTCCCCAATGATTTTCAGTAAAATTTACCTCATTTGTAATTTTTAAAAAAAAAATTATTGTTTAAACTATATATAGTTTCATTTTTTAAAATTTATTACCTGTCTTACCTTTACAAATAAAAAAAAAAAAACTCATTAAGAAACTTCTGTTGTATGGAGAAAAGTTAATTTAAATTATTTTTTCCCCTCCCTCCCCCCCTTTTTTTTTTTGCAGACTCTGCGTTAAAAACTTTAAGAAAAAATTAGAAAGAGTTTAATTCAATGACAGAAGTAATGGAAGAGAAAAAAAAAAGAGCAGAAGAAAATTATAAAAAAAAAAAACATTAGAAGTAGTAAAAAAAAAAAAAAAAAATCAATAATTAAAACAAGAATCAATATCGATTATCGATATTTAATTTTTATAATAAAAAAACAAAATTAAAATTTCAAACTTAAATGTTAATAAATGTTATTTCATAATAATAAACGAAACCATATTAACATGTTGTCAAACAGGTTTTTTTTTTTTTTTTTGTTAATAATAATAATAATAATAATAATAATAATAATAATAATAATAATAATAATAATAAAGTTAACAAAAGGAAATGTTGCAAATGAACGACGAGGAGCCATAGTTGTTGTTTACAAGCTCTAATAATAATAAAAAAAAAAAAAAACTGGATTCTAATACTACTACTACTACCACTACCACTACTTGCCTAAACTATATTCGATGGCCTCTTACTAGTAGTTGGTTTTTTTTTTTTTTATTTTCCCTTTTTAAATTTTTGATTATACTTACCACGAATCCATACCCATTTTTGATGAGAATGTCACGGATTCTGCCATACCCTTTAAAGAACCTTTCAATGTCTCTGTCTTTAACACCATAAGGCAGACCACCAATATAAACTCTTGTCCCTACCATTCTGCTGTAAAGAACAAAAATCAAAAAAATGTTAGACAACTAACTTACCACAAATGCATATCCATTCTTCATCGATATATCCTTAACTCTTCCATATTTGCGGAAGAAACGCTCAAGGTCACGTTCTCGCACCCTGTACGACAGGCCCCCAACGAATACTCGGGTGCACATTGTTCTTAAATGAAATAAAACAACAACCACATCTTTAAAATTGTAAAATTTCATTTTTTCCAATTCGGTTTTTTTTTTGACAGGGATGGACTTTGAACCGAGTTTATTAAAAAAAAAAAAAAAAAAAAAAAAAAAAACATGCAACCGAATTTCCTTAATTTCCACCATCAAATCTTTTTTTTCCTTTTCTTTTTTTTAAACCACAATAACAGTAAAAAAAAAAAAAAAATGGTACACCTGAACTGTAAGGGAAGGAAAATTAATTATGAAATTTGGGAATGAAATGGGGGGGGGGGGGTGTTTCGATAAAACTTGATAATCCAAAGGGGAAAAATTTTTTTTTTTTTTTTTTTTTTTTCAATCGAAAAGATTAAGAAAATTAAATTTATAGAAAACAATTCATAAAATCATCTCTTATTTTACATAAAATCTCATCATTATCAGTAAAGAGCAAAGTTTCATAGAAATTTCTAAAAACACAACAGAGATTACTGACCTTGTATTTTTCTTTGTTAACTTTTTTAAATTTGCTAAAAAAAAAAAATCTTATAATTCTAATAATTCCAAATAACTATATATATATATAAAACAAATTTGATTTTCATTACATATGAGAGTGAATATTATTCTAATTATTAACGACAAAAGCTCACAAAAACATTTTATCGAGAAAAAAAACATAATCGAACACATTTTACTTTAAGTTTCGAATCAATCCTATACTGTTCCTGTTTTGACAAATTATATTCAATTGAAAACATAAAACATATCATATCATTCACAGTAGGTCAAAATAATTTATAAGATTTTATAACTAGCTATAATATTACAAAATGATGTATTTAATATCATCATTCAATGGTGTTGTTTAAAAAAAAAAACAATAAATCCTTAATTTCATAATATTGTCGAATTATATATAAAAGTAGGAAATTTTAAACAATTGGGCATTGTATAAAAAAATTAGGAAATAATTTTTGTTTTATCGAAAACTTACTTATATTGCCTAGAAAATATTTATATTTTTGATTTAAGAAAACAAAAAGGGGGGAAGGGAAGGGGGGGATAGCAATTGAAATAAATTTAATACTGTTGAATGCATGTGAATCATTAAAGCCTTTAATAAACCTTAAAATATTTGAGTCTAAACATGAAGTTTAATATTTTTCCAACATGACCAATGTTTTACAAATGCTAACGATTTGCGTTGAGTCGAATGCGCGGCTTAAAAAGTAATAAAAAAAAAAAATGGGCACGCCAAGCTTTGTTTTCCCTCGCAAAAATGAAACAATACAACGTAATAATTTATGAGAACAATAATAACGAACATAAACGGAAAAATTCAACTTTTTTTTAATATTTAAAAGAGAAAAAGAAAAAAAAAAATGTCAAAAAAAGATGCAGGCATGGCATTAATTAATTAATGCGTAATTTTCTTAACATCGTCAAATTAACTTAAAATTACTTTTTTAAAAAACCGTTAATAAATAATATAATTGAAAAAGAATAATTTTAAAAGTTAAAAACAAATACTTTCATTAAACAAAAAACAAAAAAGTTTAATCGAAAATATAACATTAGGGTCGGGCCATATCGAATGCCAAAGGAGATGGCGTCGAGCGTAGCAACCAAATTTCCTCGGACCTCATTTTTATTTAAATTATAATATCAAATAAGAACAAAATAAATATAAATAAATAATTAAATGTATATACTAACCTTTTTTAACGATTTTGACTGAATATTTATGATTTTTTCAACTTTTCTCAACACTAAAAACTGCAAGAAAAACCAAGCATTTCACACTTCATCAGTGAAATCAATTACACAAGAGAGAACAAGGTCTCACAAAACTAAGTGCAGGGCCGCGTATATCGGAAACGGATGTTGTCGTGTATTTAGAATATAAATATTGAACGGCACCTATTTTCGTTACAATTGGTAAAAAACGTTTTTTCAATTTTAAACAAATAATAAAAAAATTATTATTTTTAAATAAAAATAAATAAAAAAAAAATCATCATTTAGCATAATTTCTTTTTTATAATGAAAAAAAAGTATATTTTAAAATTTTGAATGACTCATTTTTAATATTTTTTAATAAATACATTTAAAAACGTGGTACCAACTATAAAGAATTCATATTTTTAAAAATTTTTTTAATTATGCTAATATGTAAGAGAAAAAATCGGTTTTCCTCAAAGCTTATTTAACCTTTAATAATGGATAAATGTAAATTTTTTCGAATAAAATGAATAAAGTAAAATAATAAATTTATTAGAAAATGATTTATTAGCCATTAGACGGCTCAGCTTACAATTGTCAATTTTGAAATTAATTGATTATAAAAATTATCTAGATTAAAAAAAAAAAAGAAAAAAAAAAAAAAAGAAACATGGGATAAAACTTTATCATACTACATTTACATAATATAAATTTAAAGATTACGATAACCCTCTAAAAATATCAGCGATATAGGTACTGCGATTTGATATTTCTTCGTAAAGACCGACCACAAAGCAAAATTCTTCGAATGACGTGCAGGGCAATAATTCTTCCCTGTAAGATGCCAGCAGACGATCGGATGCTTTCATCAAGGCTTCGTCGTTATGCCTTATATAATCTGCAAGTCGACTGGGCCACTGATGCTCGGATGACACTCTTACTTTCTAACGGACAAATATAAAAAATAGCATTATTTAAAAAAAAAAAAAAAAAACAAAAAACAAAAAATTAATTTCAGGTTTATTTTAATACCTTGAAAAATTTCGTGTAAATGCCATCGATTAAGGCAAAAAAAATTAAACAGCTTTTATACGTTGAATATTCTTTAACGGTTACATCTGAAAGGCGAAGAATTTGAGCGGATGGGGATATATGTCTAGCCTGGGCAGTAACTAAAAGTCTTCGAAGATGACATAAACGAGTTTTTTCCCAACGAGCCGGAGAGCATAAAAGTAAAGATAATGTTGCCATGTAATAGGGACCCTCGGCTTCGTAACTGGATTCAACCCATTTTTCGTTTGCCGCAGAGTCTAAATAAGCCATTAAAGTTTTATCTTCTCTGGGACCGGAACGAGTACTGTAAATAATAATAATAATAATTAATTTCACCGATAAAACAAAAAACATTTACGTACATTTATTAGAAAAAAAAAAAAAAAAAGAGTAGCTTACGTGTTGATAACATATAAAGCCATGTGAAGGAGATAAGGAATAATGTACATATTAGATTGAGGTCCACCACCGCCAGTGTCATCGTGAAAACTTTTCTCTTGAGCAAATCTAAGTAAAAGCAATTTTAAATCGTGGACAGCCGACGAATAATTTATATCCCTGAAAAATAAAAATAATACCCAATGAATTTTTATTAAAGGATTTTTATTATTTATTTCATTTATGATGAAACTCACCTATGACCCGTGCATTCTTGAAGGTAAGTATTATGTCGAGCGAGGCAACTGGCAAATGCAGATTCTGGAACTTGAGGTCCCCATAGAGGAAGCAATCCGTTACATTTGGTATTTGCATTTTGTAGAGCTGCCGACTCCCACTCATCTCGAGCTCTGGCCAATCTTAAATTTCGAGATATGAAAGATTTTAGATTTAATTTCGCGAAAATTACATTTTTTCTTAAAGAAAAAAACTACGAACCTCACGGCTGCCATGTGGCAATCGACATGCACTACGTTGAAATGAGTCACAGTACTGTAACCAAACGTTTTTCTCGGTTTAATTTCATATTCTTCTACGTTACATCTCTTCGTGAAGGTATAAATCCCTAGCACTTTTGTAGGCTGAAATTTATACCCTTCTCGACATATAACACAAACATGTCCAGTTTCTTCTCCCAAATCTGCCACTTGCTGCATAATTGTGCTATCTGCAGTTACCTAACAAAAATTTAATAAAAAAATAATAATAATTTTTTGTTTTTTTTCACAGCTATTTTAAATAGACAACGACAACTAAACTTACTTGACCCTTTTCGTTAGTTTTCATTCCCAAGGCTCCTAATTGACGCTCTCTCATTGCCATCGCCAACCTTTTCTTTTCGGCTCTAGTTTGTTCTCTGACTTCTTCGATTCTACTCGCAACTTTTGGATGAGATTTCAAAGCTTCTAATAAATTTTCAGCCAAAGAACCGACGTGTTCGTCAGACGACACTTGCTCTAATCTATGAATTATGGGAATGCAATCAACGGAGACCGCTAATTGTGTCGGCTCGTGGTCGGAAGCCAACCCGGCTAAAAATCTTAGAATATATTTAAGCGAAGGTTTTGATATAAATTCTTTCCAATCATCGCTGTCCGTTCTGGATAATGTAGCTTTTACTGGGGGAGCATGAGACTGAAAAATAAATTTTATACTCAAGTATTTAATACTTCTCACAATTTTTACTTAAAATCTCACGATCTTAACTTACAATTATATATTCCAGTGCTTGTTTGACAATTCCAAGAGATATAATATAATCTTTTAATGTATTCCCAATAGCATTCCTGTCTATTCCCGATGTCAAAATACAAAAAAGTTCCAATTTTTGTTTATCTTCGGGAGTGTGTTCAAAATCGAAAGCATTAAAATCAAGAACAGTGGTAAAGTTTTGAATGAGAGGTGCCATTCTTTCCTCATTTCCATAAGTAAGAGAAGCAATAACGCGCATCAAGTGTTGAAGAACCGAAGCACTTGCAGTTGATCCCTTAGAATTCACGTAACCTAATAAAGCCTCTATGTGATCTACACCTCCGAAAGTCTGAGAAAATTCGTAAAATTTCTCTGGCCTTTCACTTGTGGCTTTTGATAAAATTATTTCCATAATCTAAAAAAGTCAATTTAATACACGTTAAAATTATTTAAATTTATTTTCGTTGTAAAAAAAAATGGAAAAGAATTTACATCGAGTAATTCTTCAGTGATTGCGGATTGCGGTGCGTTATTTTCCTTAGATGAACAAAGTTCTTTAAGAGCATTTAAAAACACCGAAATTGCATTGAGTTCGGGTTGAGCCAAAACCTCTTGATTCCTCTTTACTTTAACGCAAAGCCTGAACAACTTAAGAAGAACCTGCAAAAGTGGTCTTGCTCTATTGAGATCCGTGATTCCGGCTAATCTATCGAGCATTATCTAAAAATAAAAAAGTTTGTTGAAATTTTATCATGTTAAAAATTCATTTTATTAATAAAAATGGAACATTTTTTTTTTTTTACCTGCAATCCTCCACAATCGGCCATAACATTAGCCATCTTGTAAACTTCCTCGTTATTAACCTCTTGTTCGCTTTTTGCATTAAGAGTTTCCACAAACTCTTCCGTTGCATCTCCCAGTAATCCCCTCATTCGATACACGACTCTCATGGTATCCGTATCACCGGATTCAGCAAGCCATACTTTTTTATAAACTTCTCGTACCGATAAATTTAAACTTATTATTTTATTATTGACTAGAAGTTCCATTCCGTTATCATCTTCTAAAAGAGCAACGAGCTCGCAATCTTGACAAATTTTATTTTTCACGTCTCGCATCAAAGGTCCGAGACCGTGTTCGTTGCTACTATAAGGATTACCCAACATTCGACCCTAATTGATATAAAAAATTAAGTTCACTTTCGAAAATGGTACAAAAGTAAACCTTAAACGCAATACCTGTAAAAAGTCTTCTTGTTGCGGATCCTTTTCTAGAGTCAAATAAAATTCTCCGGTATCACTTTCTTCGGGATAAACAATAGAACACAACCTTTCGAAAATAAACACCGGAGTTCTGATGTCTTCGGCTGGAGTAGCTTTAACAGTTTCAATGCAAATTGCCATAAATGCTTTTGTTTCCTCTTCGGTACCTAAAAGAAAAAAAAACGATGAAAAATATACGCGTTTTAAACCTGAAATTCAAAAAAAAAAAATTTTTTTAAAAAACTACCTGTAGTCATTTCTTCTAAAAGTTCCAACAGTTTTTCTTGGGTATCATCAATAAGTCTGGTCCGTTGAACAACCAAACGTCTCAATGATAAATAACCATTCAAGACAGCTCCGACCAATCTTCCTTTATACAATTGTTTAATACCATCGTGGTCTAAAAATGATGCTAACAATTCCGTAAGCATTTTTAATGCATATCCTACAAAAAAAAAAAAATATAATAATAATAATAATTTTGTTAATTTAGTAAAAAAAAAAAAAAAAAATTTTTTGTTCAGTTTCAATTAAACTACCTTGAGCCAAATCGGAAGTTAGAGTGGTGTCTTCCAAACGATGCAATTCTTGAATTTCTTTGGTTAAAAGATCAGCCAATTGCAATAGCAAACCTTTCACGGCCAAATACAATTTCCACGGCACTTGTTGAAGTAAATTTTGATAGAATGATAAAAATTCTGCTGCACTTTCTCCGGCGCAACCCAATTCGACTAAATAACCAGTCAGGAGATCTAAAATCTACTCGCAAATTCACATTAAAAACCGCCTTCATTAAAAAAAAAAAAAATCGACTTAAAATTAACAATTTAAAAAAAAATACTCGCCTCTTTTTTCCTTACTGAAACTTGACACAAACTCTCGAGCATGTTACAGGCAACCTGTCGGGAAAGTCTCGAACTCGGATTAAATAATACTTGTTTTAACCAGGGAGCATCGTTCCATAAAATAACCGGGAATAAATCTTTCAACATTTTTTGCTTTTGCCTCCATCTATTACCGTATTTTTCCATCAAATAATACGCGTGGACATCTTCTTTTTTGATATTTTGAAACATTTCGCTTGACGATTTTGCCGGCATTCTCATTCTCCAAGCCTAAAACGGGAAAAAAATTTATTTTATAACTACTTTTAAAAAATTCGGAGAAAAAAAATATAAAACCCAAAATTTTCACCTTGAAAGAATGTTTGGGATCTCCTTGCAACCATTTCTGAACATTGACGTAAATGCCAGGCATGGGTTTAACGGTTGCTAACAAATCAACCGATTTTTCTTTATTCTTCTTAGAAGCCGGTTGACTGGGTTTAATTATGTTTTGTAATATTTTTAAGCACGGCAATGTGATTGATTCCATGACAACTGGAGATTTGACATTTTTACTCGCCATTATTAAAAGTTGCATAACACATCTGCAAAAAAAAAAAAAAATAATAATTTAATAAAATTTGTAAAAAAAAAATTAATTTAATAAAAAAGAAGTTAGTTTTTTACCTTAGTTTTTGCTCCCAACAATTATCTTCTTTTTGAACCAAAGCTGCTAACAAAGCCATTTCATGTCGGACAGCGAAAGCCAAATCACTGTTTGCCACATGTCCTACTAAAGTAAGAGCGATTCTTTCCATTAAAAGACTGCATAATTCCTGTGTGGCTTTTGCATTGTCTCTCGTAAGTAAACACAATAATTCTTGAATCTATAACAAAAAAATTGCGAGGAATTACTATCCATAAATTTCATGCGATTGTTTTTTTTTTAGGAAATAATTTTACCTGTACGGTTCCTTTTCTGAGATTATTTTTTACTAGCTCTTGAATCAAACCTTGAGAACATAGAATTTGCCGGGACGTGGCACTCGTAGCGAGAGCACGTAATAAAGTCAAACAATGTTCAGTTGCAGCCGATGCACAACCGTAACACCTTCCAATGGTATAAGATGCATCGGAAGGCATAAAAGAAAACGAGGAGGACATTACCTGAACAGTAAAAAAAAAAAATTTTATTAAAAAAAAAAAAATTTCAAAAAATAAATTCCAATAAAAATGCAACACTTACGGCTGCCGATGAAGTTACTAATCCGGAGCTGTTCGTAGTACTCTTAGGCGCAGTCGATACATTTTTATTTTTACCTCCTTTTTCCTTTTGATTTCGATCGTAGGTGACCAGCTCCCGTCGACAAGCCAAAACTTTTTGAATGATTTTACTTAATTCTTCGAAAGAGCTTTTACATTCACCACAATATCTTTGAGCGAGTAGTTGAATAGCTTTATTCACATGTGCACTGCTACCCCCCGACACGGTTGCAGCGGCCGATGAATTTCCAGAAATAACAGAAGTGGCATCATCGGCAGATTTGTCCAAACGATGTTCAGAAATTTTCAAAATAAGTAATTCTAACGAAGGTTTATGAGATATTAACGCTCTGTATACTCTATCCGCCTTTTCTAATGAAGTATTTATGGCGGCCACGCTTTTGTTTCGATCTTCATCGTTTTCGATTGGATCAACAGCGCAGCAAGGCTTTGCCGTTAAGGTATAATCAAATTTTGCGTATTTGCAAAAACCGCACGAATGACATAAAAATGGATCTTTTTCATCGTAATTAATAGCCCTAAATTAATATGTTAAAATTAATAAATTTAAACAAAATAAATAAAAAACAATAGGAGTTAAATTATGCATTTCGTGGAAAACATCACTCACCGGCATTTATGACATTGAAAAACGTTTTCCCCGCAGTTACCACAAACTCCAGGATTGGCTGGTACGCTTGCGGAACATCTCGGACACTGAAGTGTTTCTGATGTCGCTTGAATGTTTTCATAAAAATCAGCGTATTCAATCATGAGATTGCAAGCGACTATTGGTAATGGAAATTCCATTTTTACTTCAGTTTGTCCCGATATGAGTGAAACTTTTTTTGCTTTGTGCCAGACGGTGAATTTATTTTTTAATTCCACAACCGCTTGCACGCTTTTATTATTATAATAAATGTTAATGGTTCGAACCATTTTTGTTCTTTTCAAATCTCCGATTCTCAACGTAATTTTACTGATTGTATGACTTCCGACAAGTTTTACAAAGTGAGTGGTAGTGGTAAATTTTGAGTCAATCTAAATTTAAAAAAAAAAAAAAGTATTTTCAATAAGTTATTAAAAAAAATGAAAAAATTTTTTTAAATAAATTGATTTAGCTTTATTGCCTTAATTGAAGAAAGCTTGATGCTGCTCAATGCGACTTCTGGGTTGTTGCACACCAAGCAGGGTTCGCTCTCTAAGTAATAACCATCAAATTCAACGAATTGCGTAAGACTGTCGTATAAACTTGCATTTGGATGGTGAGAAAGTAGCTCATTTTGTTTCTGAAGGAGACCCACCGCTTGTTCGATGTACTCCGTAAGCTGTGGAACAATAATTTTTAAACACAAACTTATCTGACATCTTTTTTTCAATCAATGATTTTCATTAAAGTCGTTTGTTTTACCTTTTTCCCTCCCTGGGAAGTTTTTAAAGAAAAGTATCCCAATAAATCTACAAATTGCGCAGCTTTTCTACCGAAAGCAGGTAATTGTGGCCATAATTTCCATAGTAAATTTAATAATATTTCTTGTTGAGCAGACGAAGAATTTCTAAAAAGCGATTTTAAAATTTTATAAAAAAAAAAAAAATAATAATAATAAAAATTAATAAAAAAAATGCAATGTAAAAACTTACTGATATATTGCCAAAATCAGAGCATGCGTTTGCCAACGAACGTTGGTAAAATTGGTTTCTAGAAGAAACGCTTTCACAAATTTCAACAAAAGATCTTTTGATACAAATTTATTTATTTGCTGAACCAATAGAATACTTTGAGCTTCTTCGAATCTTCCATCCGTACTCGTTTCTTCTGATTTTTCTCTATCTTTTCGATTAGAAGATGCTGGAGGTGTTCCGCTTTTACTTTCGTGTCCGTGCGAACTTTTTTCCATTTTCGAACAGCATATGGCGCACTGAAGCAACTGTAAAATCGTCGGAGAGACACCGTCATCTAAAATACAACTTATGTCGAACAAGAATGGAATTATATCGTCATTCTTTAGACAAAAACTTTGCCAGTTTCCTGTACGGTACGTCGCGACTTCAACGCAGGCTTTTAAATGTTCTATTAATTCAACTAAAGAATCGTAGTTGAACGATACGTGGGAGTAGGGTTCCGAAGGATTGAATCCTCCACCCTTACAACTTTGTTGTACAGCCTGGAAAAAATTTAAAGAAGAAATTTTTTTTTTTAAAGAACTTTAACTTTAAAACTTTAAAGGAAAATTATTTTATTAAAAATAATTTACCTGCATATGTGACTCCAACGAGTGAAGATCTCTTAATTGTCTATATTTGTCTTTATTGCCACACAAAAATAATAATAATTTTCTGACTTGTCGCCTCACAAATGGAGTTTGATGAGTCATCATGTATTCACACAGATAATAGAACCAAGATTTATCAAAATTAGTGCTAATGGGAGAAAAATTATCCATGTGTTTCTGAATTTGGTACGGCAAACGTAATGCCATTTCAGTGAGTAATTGAGGATATATTTCAAAAACATCACTGGCGTGACCCTTGACATATTGTCTTAGGAAAAACGGTGACATGTCAGGAGGAGAAGATGTCAAGTGAGGCTTTAATAAAGCACCACCAACATTAGTATTGACGTCTTCTGCATTTGTAACTTTCCAATACTTGAGAAGTTCTTCCAAAAGTTTAAGACAATATTTTATCATTCCAGCTTGGAGTAAAACTGTAGCCGTTGTTTGTGAAACAAAATTAGAATTATCCGAACTGGACTTACTGTTGGCTTTTGATCTCGACATTAATACACCTGAAATAAAATTGAAAAATAATTTTTGCTTTTAAAATTTTTATGTTTTTTTATTTTTATATACATCGCAAAAAACTTACTAAGGAGTCTCATGACCACAAGATGAACTTCTCTTTTCGTAGTCCTTTGCCAAATATTTTCAGTGTCAGGCTCTTTTATTTCCAAAGCTTTTACCAAAGTGTTCAAAAGTGTTTCTAAGCAAACTTTATCTTTTTCTTCTTCGCCGTCTAAATCCGAAGTTAGCATAAGAATAACTTGCATAAATGGAATAACATGAACACCATCATCGTGTCGTAAAGTTGAATATTTTGAAACAAAATTTTGTAAAAGAGTCAAACGAAGCTCATGCAAACTAGAACTATTTTCCGTATCAGGTTCATGCTCTTGTTCCATGACGTCAGTTTCGTTTGATTGAAATCCTACAAAATAAAATAATGTTTTAAATTTAAAATAAACTTAAAGGTATTTTTTATTTATTATAATATAATATTATACACTTAAATTAATATTTTTAGATTTTAAAGATTAACTAACCTGTTGGTGCACCAAGAGAACTAGTTTCACTACGAGCTCCGACTATGGGTTCTTGCAAATTATCTCCATAAGCAGAACTTCGCCCAGATACATTATGCTCTCCTGTAATGCTTTCAACTCCGCTTCCACCACTTTCCGAACCGGCACTGCCTCCCTAAAAATTTATTACAGAATCCCACAATTAATCCAAAATTATAAAAATAAAAAAAAAAAATCAATTTTTTCAAAAAAAGAAAATTAAAAAAAAAAAAAAAAATAGTACCTGTACCTGTTCGGCGGGAGACGTTCTCAAAGTACTACCATCCGTAGCGGCCGTAGAACCTTCATCATCTGATCCTCCAGCACTCGCTGTGGTATCAGAATAATGACCAGCTTCTTGAACTTGTCCCGGAGTTTGACCTTGAGATGCAGCTAAAACTTGCAAGCTTTGTAAAGTTGCACCAGCGATATTTTGTAAGCCTTGTAAATTATCTAATCCTTGTTGAATGATTCCTTGTTGAAGAACTTGCAATTCAGGTCGACCTTCGTGATCCTGATTGACAAAAAAAAGTTTTGCATAATTTTTTCTTACAAATTAATTACCAAAAAAAAAAAATAATTAAAAAAAATATTAACTTGTAAGCTTAATGCAATTGCTAATTCGACCATGGTTTCATCATCAGCATCCAATAAAGAGGGAAAACCTCCTGGGCCACCTAATAAGGCTTCAATGGGATTCATACTAACGACAGCACCTGCACCGGCCCCTGCTCCAGGTTCTGGAGCTAACAGCACCATTGATTCAACCGCATCAACTTCAAAGTGAGCTTGATCGGCTTCCGATGAATCTTGTGAAGGCTGCGACACAGGTCCTTTGTCGGACTCCACCTCAGCGGTTCCTCCTATGATAATTATTAATATAATTTCGTTAACGAAAAGACATAACTTACAGTAGTTAAATTTCATATTTTTTATAATAAAAATATTCAATAACCTGGTGTGCTACAATGTGGTGGACTCGGTATAAAGACACGCCTTCTTTTAGGTCTAGGTCTAAGAACTCTAATTAAAGCTAATTTTGCGCTAAAACTGATTTGAAGATTATCGCTGAGGAGTAAATCAGTGTAGAGTTTCGAAGCTTCAACTATCGTTCCATTTAAATCACAACAAGTAAAAGCGTGAAATATTTCAACCAAAGCTTGGACGACAGCGTCAACGTGAGTCAACCCGGGTTTGCAAACCGGAGCTCTCGCTAAATTTTTCGGTGAACATTCCAAAAGTTGCCAAAGAATGTCCATTAATTCAGACATAAAATGTTTTGTGGCTTGCTTAACCGTTTTCCCCGTAGAGGTAACCGTTACCGGAGTTACGGGAGACGATGCTTTTGACGTATTGCGAGAAGTGTCTTCTTTCTTTGCATCAAGAGCTTGCTCTGCTCATCAAGTATACAAAAGGTTAAAATAACTTTTACAATAAATATCATAAAATAGATAAAAACACTTACTTGTCGGTGAAGTTATTTCTACAACTGGTAAGTTTTCAGCAAACTTAATTAAATTATAAGGTCTAGCTACGGCTACGCTTCTAACAGTCAACACCAATCTATAAAATGCTTCAGGATCAATGTCTTTAGGTTTACCTAATGCTTTAAACTTTTGAAGAGTAATGTATGCATTATTAAGCAATGCGAAATCCTATAAAAATAAAATAAAAATTAACATTAAAAAGTTTTTTTTTTTGTAATAAGAATAAAAAAATTTAAAAAAATTCAAACCTTAAAATTATGATATGCTGCTTTTGAAGTATGCAAAGCAGATAAAAGTGATTTCGTATGATGCTGAACAGAAGTGGGAGTAGGTAATGTCAGTAAAGAAGTAGCTACTTCAATGGCTAAAGCCTTTTGCTGATTTTTCACTTCATCCATATTGTTCCCGGCGAGAGTGAAACATCCATCCAATACTTCCAATATGCTCGAAATCATTCTGGTAAAATTTAAAAAAAAAAAAAAAAAAAAAAAAAAACGAAAAGCATCAGTAAACACGCTTATTTAAAGTTTACAAAAAAATTATTGAAATTTTATTTTACTTTTCCAAAGATGTCAAAGGGGTAGGAGTAATAGACAAATTATCTCCGTCTGCATTCGTACTGGTAGAAGAAGCTGCAGCAGCTGATACATTATTCGTTAAATCTTCAGTTTCTTCAGGCCAGCCAAAAGCATCTTTTGTCTTGCCATACCTATGTGTTAAAATAAATTTATTTATTAAAAAACATTCAAAAAATAAAAAAAAAATTTTTCCTCTTTTAACATGCTTACACTTTAATCGAATCGACAATTATGACACTATCCGGATCCGGTGAAGGTCCAAATGTAATTGTTAATTTTTTATCAGCTTGTAAACTCTCTTCGCGAGTCAAAGGAAAATCGAACCAACGATTTCTCGCAGCTGTCGTATGAATGTTACGACCGAAAATCTCTATATATGCTGGTGATCGAGAAGCGTCTTGATTTCCAAGTGAAACTCGTACTCCGGTAATTACCAAAGCATGATCGTTATTTGTTATTTCAACATTAAATCCAGTTTGCTTTGTAGAAACAACATAAGTTCCGATGGTGTTTAATCTGTGTTTTATTTGTTGGGCATTATAAACTTGTAGTAAATCATCACCTCCAAACTCGACATCATTCATAGCTTGACAATGTTCGAAAAAGTCAATCGGGAATGTAACATTTCCTGAAAGAAAATTAAAAACATTGGTAATATTTTTAAGTAATTTTGTAAACTAATAGGCAAAAGTACTCACCCGTGGGTTTACCAGATTGAGCGGTAATTGTTTTCTTTTTTCTAGTTTGTTTGACACTGTTTGAAGAAAATACGGCTTGAACGCAAGAGGATAACCAAAAACCAGTTTGTTCCATGCTCGCCATATAAATTCTTAAACTGCCATCCTCACAAAGTAAAATAAGAGTAGTACGATGATCTGCATTGGAAAACGGATGACGAATAGCCACCATGTCCATTATTTTAGCTTTTGCGGGTACTACCTTTATCTCTTGAACTAAAATGGTGTCGAGTTTTATCATAAGAATTACCGGATTGTTACCTGTTAATTTTAAAATTATATTGTAAATCACTGCAATTATAATATCCATCAAATTTATTTTTAATTATAAGGCCTACTTGTTTGCATCACACTAAATACAAGACCAGGATGATTAGGCACTTCACTCCATTGGCACAAAGGCTGAGGCTGGGTATTATTCGCCTTATTACCAGTTGCCGCAGCTTTGCCAAATGTGATCATATAAACGGAAGGAAGTCCTTTGAAACCACAATCTATGTGCGTCAAAGGAGCCACAAAACTTTTACCAGAGCTGTAGCTAAAGAAAAGCATTTGTAAAGTGTGAGAATAGTAAATGGAGACTCCTCCTACTTCAACTTGTCCATTAGATTCTTTAACTTCTGGATGATAAATTTCCAAGACATCCATTACGAAGAAAGGACCGTGAATGGCTAAACTCTCTTCATACATTTCTTGAGTATAAATGTGACCAGCCGAAGACATTACTAATATGTAGTTGTAATCGTACTAAAAAAATTTTTTTTTTTTTTTTTCAATTTAATAATATGCATTTTCTTTAAAAATTTTTTTTTTGAATATTTAAAAAATATATTTACAGATTCGTTGCAAAAAAATGTGCAATCTCTAACTTTTCCAGCGGGAACGAGGAAAAAATATTTTGGACTTATAGCATCTTTGCTGAGATCATAAATTTTAATAAAATCAGCTGTGACTAGAGCAAGTTCCGTTTGTGATCCGGGAAGCCAAATGGCTTTAATTATAAAATTTCCACCTTCTAATTGCGGATGCAAAACCAAATGGTCGGCTACCAATCCATTACTGCTAAAAGTGACGACGTGACAGTCCTAAAAGTGTAGAAAAAATTTTTTTTTAAAAAGATCTCTAAAATTTTAATTAAAAAGAGTACACAAATCATCACTTTCAGGTTATACCTTGAGTCCGCAAACTGCCAAAAAGTCTTCGTTCCAAGGATTTCCTGCAATTGATAAAACAGTAAAGGGAATAGGAGCCGAGGCAAGTCTGGTTAAAGAAAGTTTGCGTTTTGAAGAGTCCGTTTGTTTTAATAAGGCACTCAGTTGAAGTACAGTTATTTTGCCTTTTTCGTGCGATACGGCCAAATGTTGTCTCTTTCCATGAGGAGAAGATAAACAACACATGGCTACCCTTCTAATCATGTGTGCCGATAGTAATTGCTTTATCATTTGTCCTTGGTCTCCGGAAAAACTCATTCTTACATTTTCAAAAGCACCCTCTTGAGAACCCAAGGTAGGCAACTGCAAAATAAATCAAAATTAATATTTTCTCCATTTTATTTTTTCTTTATTTACAAATAATTTAAAAGTTTACTTTACTTAACTTTTTTATTTTAATTTTTTGTAAATAATATTAACATTCTGTACGTACCATTAATTGATCCGTTTCTTGAAATTTTTTCTCCAAGTTATGCAATTGTTCCATAGCTATTTGTCCTCTTAAATGACATCCGACTGGAGAATGACGATCACATGATGATTTCACAGCAGGTATTAAGCTTTTTAAAAGTTGCAACAAAGATTGAAAAACCGACGCATTAATGGCAACTGAACTTAAAATATCTCTATGATTTTCTAAACAAAAAAAAAAAAAAAAAAGAAGCTTTATTTTATAAACGTACTTTTTAAAAATAATTTTAAATAAATTTTATAATTCATACCCAGTTGCTTGGCAAGAGCGGATATTTTAATTTTATCTTTTGACACTCTTTCGATCCTATCCGTTCCAACGGGAGAAGATGCTCTTCGTCTTAAAGAGCTTGGAAGCATTTGTTCGACATTTCCCGTTGTGTGAGAACTTGAACTTGTTACCGCTTGCCCAGAATGTTCATTATTTGCTTGGGGTGTTCTCTTTGTCAAAGCCTGACAACTTCCGTCTTGTTTGGCACCACAATCGCAAAAGAAATTTCCGTATTTTGCATACGTAATGTCATGTCCTCTGTGACATACTCTTGCGCATACGGTACAAACTCCAACTCCCTCCACCATTTTGCAAGTGTGGCAATGATACCAATGTTGGTTCATAAACTCTTTTTGACTTATGGTAAAAGTACACAATTTATTGCACAAACTGTCCTCATCGGAATCCTCTCCCCCCGATTCTTCTTCATCGTGACCCACATCGTCGATCCAATCACAATCAAGTTCTAAAGGAGTATCGTTATCCCATGGAGGAGACGTAGCTCTACCCAAAGTAACCGGCCCGAGAGCAGTTACTACTTCACTGACATAATTTAGTAAATGACATGTAGAATCAAGCATCGTTCTGTGTTTACCAGTCGATGCTCCTGCTTCTATTTTTTCTAAAATCTCTTTTTGACTCAAAAATTGTTTACTAATTTCAAGCCAATCTATCGCAGCAGTAAATAGATGAACGTGACCTTTTCCGGAACCTGCATCGGCTAAGGTTGTCATCACAGACATTACATCAGAAAATCCCACTCCTTCTTGAGTAGACAATATTTGAGTAACTATAGGTATCATTGATTTCAGTAAAGTTATGGCTAATTCTTCATTTGTAGTACTAGCATCTTTTGTTATGTACTTTATTAAATTTTGTAGTAATAAGTGATTTTCTTGTAATGTACTTTGATTTTCTTTGCCAGGGCTTTCGTTGGGGCTTTCAACGACAGTCGTAAACTTTCCGGCCTTATCTTTTTCTTCTTCATTATTTTCCGCCTTTTGTTGAGGAGTAGGAGATTCTTCTTTAAGTTCAGAGCCTACCGCAGCAACCACTGTATTAGCTACTAGGGTAGCTGCAGCGTTTACATTTTGATTAGATGTATTGGACGGTGAGTGAGAAGTATTTGAAAAACTTCCCAAAATTAAATGATTCAGCCAGACTTGTAGTGCGGATTCATCAATCAGCGTCAATCGAGATAAAGATTCGCATAAACGATCAAGACAATTATCACCAGGTTTTTTTTCAGCTGCTATCAACAATTTGTTTAAAAATTTTAAAACTTTTAATACGTATTGTTTCGATGGAGTTGAAATCGACAACAAAACTTTTATTAAATCTCCAGCTTTGTCAACATTAAAAAATTTATCTAATGCTTGACGACCTGGCGTAGTATCAATAAATCCTTCAATAAATTTCAGACATCTTTGCAAATATCTATCATTAATAGTTTCGCTCGATTTAGTGTACATTATAATTAAAGCATAAGTGTGTCTTAAAACTTCGTAGTATAACTTTTGCTGGTGCGTATCTGTTTCTGCATCTCCTATAATTTTTTCTAATGTTCTTGATGCTAAATCGTGTAAATACTCGCTACACGACTCCATTGTTAAAGGTATGAGAACGTCAACTGCCTTTTGTCGTGTACTGCTATTTTCCGGACATTTGGTTATGTGTTTTCCTATAAAAGTAACTAAGGAATACAAAAGATGTTGCAATGAAGGATTAATGCTAAAAGAACCATGACTTGAAAGGGATGAAATGTGAGTGTTGACAACAACCAATATGTAACTTTCAGCAGGAATCAAATCATTTGCGTAAGTATTCCAAGGAAACTCGGGAAGAGGATTTGAGTTCCATTTATCAGTAACAGTTTTACTAGCTATGGGAACTTGGCCCAACAATAAATTTCCTAAAGTTCCAGTTTTCGGATTTTTTCTCGAAGACATGCACAAAACTTCGGCTAAAACTAAGAGATCCTGTTGTAAATTTTTCTTATTGAATTCTGAAAGTAAGTTAATTTCGTAGAGCAAACAGGATCGACAGCAAGCCAAAATTGCATTTGTTAATTCAATCACATAGGGAAGAAGATCTTGTGCCAATTCCGAAACGGAAGGCGAATGCTCGATAGTTTTATTCGAATCAATAGCATCAGGAGGTTTGCAAATACTTTCATCCATTAAAACTTGAATTTTAGCAATGACTGCATCCAATAGACACAAATCTGCTAAACTAGGAAGTTCTGAGGGGCTCACTAAGGCGCTCGTTTGAACGTTTGGCTTTAAACTTTTGATGCAATTTTTTGCCAATTTAACGTCGTATTCGAGAGAATTAACTATTTTAGCCACGTTTCGTAAAAGTGTTTCGGCATAATGAGTGTACATGCCTTGACGAACTAAACAATCTTTCATCCATCCTGCAAAAAATTTAAAATAATCAAATATACGTGTACATTTTTTAATTTTTTTTTTTTTTTTTTTTTGAAAATCGGTCAATTAATAATACCAGTAAATGTCTTATATCCTGTTCTTGGACCCCAAACCAAAGAGTGTAACATTAATGAATTAGCGGGTAATTCTTGATCCTTTACTAATTCGTCCATATACGGAGTAGATGGAGGCAATATAAGAAGTAACCTCCAACAAATAGTAAAGCAATATTGAATGGCGCAAAGCCCAGTAAAACTTAATTTCTCCTTATTGTGACAAAGACTAGTAATGTTTAAAATTTGTATGAGAGAATCAATTAATTGGGGATATTTCAATTTGTCGGGTGTTCCCAATATAAAGTTGCAAGCTAATCCATCCAATTTTGGTTGATCTTGATTATTTATTTCGATAACCGTTAAACTGTAAAAACGAGGTTTTAATAAAAATTCATCCTGAGGTCCAAATTTACGATAGTTATCTTCTATTTCTTTCCACGGACAGTATATTCTTGACGGAGCACGCGCGCCATCCTTTGTTTCAGATAATTCTGAAGGATTACTCATTGAATTAAATAAGTTCCATTGAACCTGCAAAAATTTTTTATTATTAACTTGATTATACGTAATGTAATATCATTACATAAATAATTAATAAAACTTTGATTAATTAAAAAACAAAATTTTTCCCAGTAAAAATAATCAATCCTGAAGACTAATATATATATACGTAAACGTAATAGTGTTACCTGTTCCAACAAAGATGGTGGTGCATCGTATAAATGCTTCATTAAATATTCCAATAATAATAATAAACGTGATAGGTGTAATAATTGTGAGTCTTTCATTATACTTTTAGTTGTATCCGAGCAACGTATGATAGCAGAAGCCGTCATGAGAAGGACCGATTTTTTTTGCATTAAATTTAATGAATGAAAAAAAAATAGTAAGAGTTGAGCATGTTCAACGTTCAAGTCCTCATTTTCAGCTTCGAATGCGGTAGAAGGAGAACAAACATTGTCCGCCAAATCATTAATAAGGCGATGCCAAATGTTGATGCATGCTCTTTCTTTATCTTGTTGATTCGATTTCAAAAGTAAAACCTGTGCCAGCACAGATAAAGTACGGGGATAAACTTGAAGTGGCCAACTCGTCATTGTTTCCGAAGACCATGGGCTAACCCCTAAATGATTTAATAGCGTGTTTTGAAGTGAATCAGATAATATACCACAAACCAATAAATTATGTGTAAAACGCGTTAAAGCTTGAGAAAAATCACAATATAAACTTCCCAGTTCAGCACCGAAATATACAGAAATTGTTCCTAGAAAAAAAAAAAATTTAATTAATACAATAAGTTAAATTTAAATTTTTTTAAAAACATATCAAAATATATTATATAAAAATAAAAAAAACTTACCTGTTTCTGTACGAGCAGTCTCTCTATCTAAATCTCTAATTATTGCGGCTAAAATTATCATATGTTGTTCAGATAATCCATTATGAACGTACTGCCACATGTAGTTAGATTTATTATTTAGAAAATGCTTATTCATAAATTGAAATATTTGCGTGGCCAATGAAATAAACTAAAATTGAAATGATTAATTAAAAATTTTTTAAGAAAAAGAAAATTTTTTTTAATAAGTATAAAGTAAATATAAATACCCCGTGGGGTTCTCCTTTTTCGGGAACAATGGATCCAATTCTCGTCGACGTTTTGGCAGCATTTTCTTGATTTTCTTCATTCTGTTGACTTGCTTGAGTGTTAGCGACGTTTTCCGAAGGGGCTAAAGTTTCTTCAAACCACAATCCCAATATTCTATCACTTTCATCATCCTCATCGTCTCCATCTGGAGAGCTAGGTTCGGAACAACTCATTAAATCATCCTCATAATAGGTAGTTGAATCTGAAAACGCAGTACTAAATGTATCTCCTTCGGGTGGGTATTTTTGAATTCTTTTTAAAGTGCAAGCCTGAAATAAGTAAAGTAAGCACATTAAAAATACTGAAAAACAAATAATAAAAAAAAAATAGTGCCTTGACCTTCGTTTCATCTTACTTTTCTATAACTAATTGTAGCTAAATAAAATAATAATTGATTTAGTGGAACGAAACTCAAAAACTTTGCAGCTCTTTGTAAAGCCGTGAATTTTCCGAGTACACTAAAATCTGCAGTCAAAACATCTGTCATTTGAAAACTTTGGTTTTGCTTGGATATTTCATCATCTTGAGTAATGGCTTCAATGTGTAAGTCGTCTAAAAGCTCAGACATCAGGGAGAGACAAAGTGATGAAAGTGCAACTGACAATACTCCAAAATTTTGTTGCCTGAGTAAAATAAAAAAAAATAAAAAAAAATTAGATTGAAAAAAAAAATCAAAACTTATGGTAATAAAAATAAATACGTACACTTTCATTAAATTTACTCTAGACGATCCTTCTCGAATTTTTATCGGAGACTTTCCTTTTTCATCTTTATTTTTTTCAGAAGATGTATAGGAGGTAGAGGAAATTTGAACTTGAAGTCCTGACAACAAAACCCATACTCCGAGAAGCCTATGGTTTTGAAGTATCTAGAAAGTTAAGTAGAATTTTTTAAAATTATCAAATTTAAATAACTTAATTTTTATTATAACTAAAACTTAACAAATAAAAAAAAAAATTTAATTTAATATGTAAAAAAAGGTTTAAATTTATAAAATATAAAAATAAACTTACATTTCCCCCAGCTCGTGTTGAATTTTTGATTGTATTCGATATTAAATTAAAAATTTCCAAACTTTTTTCTACAATACTGACAGCTAATGTTTCTAGACCTTCTTCTTCAGTTAAATTTGTTTTACTCATATTATTACTTGTTCCACTACCACTCGTGGTTCCTGTATTTCCTTTAGACATAACATTTGATAATATTCCCAACACACTACTTGCTGTTGCAACACAAACAGAGCAGTACAAACATGCCATTGTAATTTCACATAATTTTTCCAGTTTTTCTGAATGCAAAGGTTCATAAACTGGAAGTGAAAGGGCACCCCAAACTAATGTAGTGTCATTGACCAATGATTGCACGCTAAAAATTAAACTTTTTATAATATTATTCATAACTCAAATTTAATTTATTGTACTGATAATTACTTGTGCTTGATCATTGTGGCCTCCGAATATGTAGATGGTAAATTAAATTTTCCTGTTTGTAAGGCTTCTTTGTATTTATTAATGTATTTAGATAAATGAGGTAAATCAGTGCACATATCGATTAAAATATCACCAGCTTTCATTGATTGCAAATTTGATATATTTCTTTGGATGAAAGATTTCTAAAAAAATGAAAAAAAAATATAAATCAATTTCACATAATATTTCTGATTATTAATTTAATAATGCTATCGGTACCAATAATTTTCTCATATCGGTACAAAAAATTATTTATAAAAAGGAATATTATGGCGAAATTATTTATTACCTCAATTTCTTTACCAATATTCTCATTAATTGTATTTGAATTTTCACTCGGTTTATTATTTGAATCACTCGATGTAGATTGTGATTTCAATAAAGGAAAGTCATACAAAGGAGATGTTAACTGGGTCATAAGCATATACGATAAATCTGTTCTAGACCTTTTAACATCACTTAGAATAGTTGGTTCTTTATCACCTAGAATAATAATTTTTAATTACTAAAAAGAAATCAAAATTTTTTTTTTAAAAATGAATTTAAACTGTTTACCAGCACTAGACGATTTTATGTGTGGAGGAACTTTTGCATTTTTCATTACCATTGTTATGGTAACATAATCTGATGCTTCCAACATTCCTTTTGCAGTGCACAATGCATTTATTTGCATCAACAGTTGTTTTGTAGACAAAATAGTTTGCGATAAAGCATCTTTTTTAATCTGCATTTTAATCATTTTAAGTAAAAATTCCATAAGGATTTTGGATGCTTGACAAGCATTTCCAATTTGAGTTTTACATATAGAATGAATACTAGAGCTAATGTAATCTGCTGCCAAAGCAGCAAAAGATGTGTAAAATGCATCATACTCTTCATCATGATGAAAAAATTCATTTTCACTAGAATAAAATTATTGGGGGTCAAAAATTAGCAAAAACCCATATAAATGACAATTACTCAATCAAAGTCAGGACTTTAATTATAAAATCATAATCAATGCAAATTATTACAAAAAAAAATTAACATCAATTATATTACTACAAATTAAAGGACTAAAATTAAATTTTGGTAGTTTAAATACTACAGAATGACAAATCATAATTGTCGAGATCGAATTTGTATTGAAACGCATATTAAGTGAATCATAGAAAATCATGTCGGAACAGGTGAAAAACAAAGCCTACTTCTGTTTTATGGCAACATATATTGTGATTAACAATTTCGTACCTTTTGTTAATTGCTTTTATTAATTCTAAAACATCACTTTTATTATAAGATCCATAAGAGGCGGCAAAAATGGGTTTTATAACTGCAGCCCAATCTACACCACCACTAGCGGAAGCCATTTTTTAACACAATCCTAATATAAAAAATTTATCCTTTTTTTTTATTTTACCTTCTCGTCCCTGCTGCCACGATTTATGATAATATTACCTTCGTATAAGTAAATTTTATTCTGAAAAAAACAAAAAAATTCATCATTTTTCTTAATTTTATTCAATAATAACTTTTTTTTTAAACTAAAAAAAAAATTTATTTGATATTTCCAATCACAAAATAAAATAAAATAAAATTATAATTTTTTTTTTTTTTCAAAATTGTTTGTGAAATTCAAAATTTACCGAAATGAAAAAAAATTTTGACAAATATTTAAACAGTGAAAAACTAGTTTATATACAACAAATTTAAACAATAAATTAAAATTCTTTTTTTAAATAAAGAGCGTCATTATTTATTTTTATGTTAAGTCAGCTGAAATAGTTTAGTTTTTTTTTTTTTTTTTTTTTTTTTTCTTCTATAAATTTGATGAAATTTTACGTCATGGCGTTAAAAAAAATTCACAACAAGTTTACTCCGTCATGTTATACTTTTTTTTTAACGCATCGTCATTACCTTTCTTGATATCTGGTATCGTAATTGAATCTAAATTTTTCTTCGTTTGCTTATGAATAATTGAAAAATAAGTCGAGAATTAACTTTTCTTTAGATTATCAAAGAGTACTTTTTTTTTTTTTTTCATTTTAAGTGCATTGCACTTTATAGGAAAACAAATTATGCGTAATTTTACAAGTATAAAAATGTTATCTATTTTAAGTTTTATCATTTTTTTTTTGAACAAATTAATTCCACCATAATCAATATTTCATTTATTTTAAAGCAATGTTATTTGAAAAAAAACAAAACTTACTTGTAAATTTACTATTTAAATTTTTGTAGTACGCAAATAATACAAAGTTCTTTTTACAAATTAAGTAAAGAAGCCTTTTTTTTGTTCACAAAAAATTTTGCTAAAAATTACATAAAAAACTGAGCCATTAAAAAAATTTTCATTGTTGCTTTCCGAAAATGTACGTCCACTAATCGACTGTTCAGTGTAAAATGGTACTGATGCCACTTTTGTGAAACCTTTTTTTTTATTTTTCCATTTTCATTCTCTTAAATTGTTTAAAAAAGAAAATTTTCACGTGGTAAAAAAAAAAAAACTAAGTTGAAACAAAACAAAAAAGCAAATGCATTCTTTTTTAAAAGTCTTCGATTTCGACTAAAATAATTTACCGCCTAAACTTTTAAATTTTTTGGGTTCAAGGCTGAACAATCATGGCTGACAGCCATATTGCATTTAAAAATACCAAAATGAGTTTGTTTTTCAACTGGTTCACTAAAAAGAAATGTAGAGAACGCCATTTTGCATCTTTTGTGGTGTTCTCTTTTCTTTTTACTCTTCATACGATTTATGTGGATTCGTTAGAGTATAAAGTAGGTTTTTGTATATTTATTTGAATTTACATTTTATGTAAAAACTTCAAAAAACGGTTTTATTTAGATACCGGTTAATATTAAGATGTTAAGAAATTTTAATAGTTTTAATTTGTGTGGTGCGTCCTGTTCTATTGACCTTTGTTTCGTGCAAGATTGTTTAGTGAATTTCTGTTTTTTCTATCATGGCTACAGAAAATTATGTTTTTAAAATATTTTTTAATATGTTTGTGCGAACGTACATAATAGTCGAATTATGTAAAATTGGAATACTGTTTCGTCTTATAAACATTAACTCAGTAGTTCTTTAATTACATACTTAACATTTTTTATAGTTGTCAATATGCCTTGGATTCAATAGTAAATTGTTTTATATGAATTATGGCAGAAATCCCTGACATAATGGGACATGTTGGAGAGCTAGCTCAACCTTTACACATTCAAAGGCTGCACAAAAGTCTTGTTTTGCAACCTTTTTTGAACAGTGTAGAGAAAGTGTTCAAGCATACACAGAGGTAAATGAATTTCATTATGTATTCCCGACAATGATTATCATTATTTTTTTCATTTATTACTTAAAGTAAACTTTATAATAATTATACCTTAATTAAATAATGAAATGCTTATTGTATCCCAAAAAGTTTCATTTATATTAAATTTGTATGGTTGTGGTTTTTTAAAATAATAATTAAATTAAAAATTTTTCTAATAACAGTGATGACTCTGATTCTGACATTGATGTAAATGATTACAAGTTTAAAAAAAAAGGGGAAAAACTTGTAAATGGGATTCCAACAACTACAGAAGAAAGAAGGTCTGATAAGATGAGACTTTTTAATTTTACTAATATCCAGGCTGACAGAAAGTGGTTGCATGATGTTCTTATCAGTGATTCATCTGGGTCTTCCGATGAAGACAAACCAATCACAGATGAATATTTTCAAGAAATGCTAAGGCAGCATGTTGAGGAAAAAAAATATAGAAAAAGGGTACATGCCAAGCCTGAAGTAAGTCATTTTATTAATATTTAAATTTTCATAATTTATTTTCATAATTACTTAATGACTTTCGATGAAATCTTTTTAGTATCATCGATATCAGTATTATGGGACTGGACTCTTATCTAATTATGACAAGTATCCAGAACATCAAAAATCTGTGATAGGTTTTAAAAAAGTCGAAGGAGGGAAAAACAAAAAAAAATTAAGCAAATCATTTGTAGATGGGCTTAAAAGTAGGAAACCTAAAAAAGTTATAAAAAAAGAATGTAATCTTAATGACAGTTTGGTAAGAAAACAACATTTACTTTAAAGTATTTTCTATTTAAAATGTCATTTCATATATATATCGAGTACTTATCTGTAATTTTTTATTCAGGATCAAGATAGCATTCAAAAAGATGACAAACTTAGCCTATTGGATGATTACAAAGAGGAGTCTGAAAAATTAAGATCTCTGCCAGGTCAAGGAAAAAGTTCGAGAAGTAAAAAAAAAACTGATAAACTTAAATCACCTGAAGTTATGGCTATGAGAAGAAAAAAACTTTGGGCCGTTATGTCTAAAAAAGAAGTAGCTAAGGTAGTTCGAAAAAAACAATAAAATATCATTAAATAATGTTTAATTTTTCATAAAGTTTAATATTTTTTTTATTTTATAAAGGGTCAGCGCTCCAAAGCGAATAATCATAAGGAAGTAATATCATTGTGCAAGAAAATGGCGCAATTATGCATAAAACATTGGAAACAAAAAGCATTACAATCACAGAAAAACATGAAAGAAACAGTTTGGAGAAATAAAAGACTTACTAGAGAAATGCAAGCTTATTGGAAAAGATACGAAAGAGTTGAAAGAGATACCAGGAGGAGGCAAGAAAAAGAAGCAGAGGAGCAAAGGAAAATGGATGTCGAGTTGATGGAGGTAAAAATTTATCTTGTATTTACAAATTTTTATTAATCTAAATTTGTCATTTACATTATTGTTCGATTTTAGGCAAAGCGGCAGCAGAGAAAGTTAAATTTTTTAATTACTCAAACAGAACTCTACGCTCATTTTATTTCAAAAAAACTTTGTGGTTCTGGTTTTAACGAGCAGCACAGAATATTGAGCCAGTTGGATGAAGAAAAAAATCCCAGGCTAGCCTCTATCGACGATTATAACAGCGAAGAAATGAAAGCAAAAGCAACGAAGAATGTTGAGGAGGCATTTAATGCTGAAAAAGTTAGAAGTAGTCAGTTTGAACATTCTAGCGTTTCAAGGGAAGGAGACGGTGAATTTAACGACGAACGTCCTCAACCGTTAATGTTTAAGGGTAATTTAAAACATTATCAATTGAAAGGAATGAATTGGCTTTCAAACTTGTACGATCAAGGTATAAATGGGATTTTGGCCGATGAAATGGGTTTAGGGAAAACTGTTCAATCCATTGCATTTTTATGCCACATAGCGGAAAAATACTGTGAGTTTATTTAAAATTTTTTTTTTTTTTACAAATAATTACACTTTTATTTGTTGTATTTCAAAAAATTATTTCTTTTTTTTTTTTTTTTTTCCAGCTGTTTGGGGTCCGTTTTTAATTATATCTCCAGCTTCTACTCTTCATAATTGGCAACAAGAAATGGAAAGATTTGTTCCAGATTTTAAAGTAGTTCCCTATTGGGGAAACGTTCAAGAGCGAAGAATTTTACGGCAGTTTTGGGATCAAAAAGACCTTCATACTAAAGAAGCAAGTTTTCACGTTGTCATAACTAGTTACCAACTCGTGATTACCGATTTTAAATATTTCAATCGTATCAAGTGGCAATATTTAATATTGGACGAAGCGCAAGCCATTAAAAGTTCCAACAGTATGCGTTGGAAACTTCTTCTCGGGTTTAGTTGTCGGAATAGATTACTTCTTAGTGGTACTCCAATTCAAAACTCAATGGCTGAACTATGGGCGTTACTTCATTTCATTATGCCAACTTTATTTGATAATCACGAAGAATTTAGTGAATGGTTTTCTAAAGATATCGAAAGCCAAGCGGAAAACAAATCTAAAATAGATGAAAGTAATTAATTATTCGAATCCTTATAAATATTTTTCGTAAAACAAAAATTTATTTACATTAATTATTAATAATTTTTTTTTTTTTTTTTTTCAGAGCACTTATCTAGACTTCATTTAATATTAAAACCTTTTATGTTAAGAAGAATTAAAAAAGACGTAGAAAACGAATTATCGGATAAAATAGAAATAATGGTATATTGTCCGCTGACCATACGTCAGAAATTGTTATATTCTGGATTGAAAAAGAAAATTCGTATAGAGGATTTATTAGCTGGCATCAGCGGAAGAGGTGGAACAACTGGTGAAGATTCGGGAAATAAAAATGTGGCATCTAGTTTAATGAATTTAGTCATGCAATTTAGAAAGGTAATTTTTTTTTTGTCATTTTCTCGAAAACTATTTTATTACTTATCAGCAATTTTTTTAATTATTTATTGAAGGTTTGCAATCATCCTGAATTGTTCGAGCGTAGAGAAGCTAGATCTCCATTGTATTTAAATTGCAATGAGTATATCATTCCAAAATTAATCTACGAGGATGGAATGTTGCATAAAGCAATTCCTAGCGTTAATCACTTATTGTACAATAAATTTAGTATATTTGCGATTGAATGGATGTTTAAATCTCTTTTCTCAGAAAGTAAAGAAAATGAATCTGTGTCAACACGATGCGATAGTTTTTTCTCATTTTTGAGATTTGTAGATATTTCCTTTCAAGAATTGAAAAATATGCTTTTAAAGGGAATCTTATATTTGTAAGTAGTTAATAAAAATTAATGAATTGATTTTGCGTTAATCTTATCTCTCAAGTTGAATATCAAACGTTTTTCTTTTTGCAGTTGGATTTACTCATATAGATCTCATAAATTAGAAGAACTTGTTTACTACCGTTCTATTTGGAATAATTTTAAACCATCTAATAAACGTCTTTTAATTAGTCCGGAAAGTAGCACTTCTTTTCCTTCTATTTCTTCCAGTCCAGCTTTGAACGATTTGGTTTTTACCAGGCACGTGGGGGATCGCAGTACAGTTTACACTCACACTAAACATATCCATCATTCAATGGCTGAAACTTTGCAGCACAGAGTTATGCGAAGTCAAAAGGTTAGTAATAAGGAAATTAAATATTGCAAAAGTTAAAAATAACTTTAATTAAATAATAGTTTAAAATTGTTTTTGTTTCGAATAGATAAAATCTAATCAAACTGAATCAACGGCAGAAGCGGAAACGGTCGAACCCGAATCATCTGATTGGTCGAATGAAGGCAAAGGAAAGGCGAAAGTTTGTAAGAGTCCGACCAAAGTTAATCAAAAAATTACCAATGTTTCGGATGATAGTTCAAAAAATTTTATCGTCCCTGAATTCCCGTATGTAAAACGGCCTCCCAGAATTTACGAGTGTGTGCCGACTCAAATGCCCGAGTTTCTTTTTGTACCTAATCTTAAGGTAAAAAAAATCAAATAATAAAATGTATTGTGACTTATTTGTACACGTGTAATATACAGCTATGTTTAAAAAAAAAAAAAAAAATTTTTTTCGTAATATTTATTGTAGATTCAAGCCAAATCAAGAATTCAGTATTCTAGTTGTAGAAATTCAGCTTGGAATTGGACCAAACACCTTCTATGTTCCGGTAAGGAAGGTTGGGAAACTGTCTGGTACGGTCATCCAATTCTAGCAGAACTTTATCGCGAAAGAAATTTAAAATTTCATTACCTGCCCGTCGGTGGGCTAATAGCGGCTGAACCAAAGTCCGGTTGGTCAAATATAACAATTCCTGGTTAGTATTTTGGCTTCATGTTTAATTGTCACTCTTTTTCTCTCGAATATCTATGTATTCTTGGTAAAATTACACAAAATAAATTTTTTTTTTTTTCAGACAAACAAACTATGGTTGCTGATGCTGGAAAGCTTTACGTACTCGATGGCCTTCTTAAAAGGCTTAAAGAAGGAGGACACAGGGTTTTAATTTATTCCCAAATGACTAGAATGATAGATTTATTAGAAGTAAGACCGAATTTTTAAAATTAAATGATTTCATTCTCACATTTATTACTAAAAAAATAAGTTTTGTAAAATTATTTGTTGTTCCAGGAATATATGTGGCATAGAAAGCACACGTACATGAGGCTTGATGGTTCATCTAAAATATCAGAAAGGAGAGATATGGTTGCCGATTTTCAATCTCGTGCCGACATATTCGTTTTTTTGCTTTCGACAAGAGCTGGAGGTCTTGGTATTAATTTAACCGCTGCCGATACCGTAAGTCGCACTCATCATAGCAATGGAATTATTGCGTTTAGTAAAATAAAACTGTTATTTACCTTTCTCTCCATTAATAGCGACTTTTTGGATAAACTGAAAACTTGATTACTTTTTTTTTTTTTCCTCCATTAAATTCTGAAATTTTTTTATTTTTTTTTTTTCACACCATAAGTCGTAAAATAAATTGATTTGTCGATTTGATCTCTTAAATTCATTTTAAAAAAATTTAATTGTTCTTTAATTATGAAATAATTTTTTTTTTTACTTTTAAACTTTAAAATTATTTTCAGGTTATTTTTTATGACAGTGATTGGAATCCGACGGTCGATCAGCAGGCTATGGATAGAGCTCACAGGTTGGGACAAACAAAACAAGTAACGGTTTATAGATTGATATGCAAAGGAACGATAGAAGAAAGGATATTGCAAAGGGCGCGAGAAAAGAGCGAGGTAAACAAATAAGGAGAGGTAGTTTTAAACTCGTTGAAAACAAATTTTTCCCTTTTTCCCGATTTACTTATCGCCATTTATTTTTTTAATTATAAAAGATTCAAAGAATGGTTATCAGCGGAGGAAATTTCAAACCCGATCATCTCAAACCAAAGGAAGTGGTTTCATTGTTGTTGGATGACGAAGAAATCGAAAAAAAATGTAAGATTTTTGTTTTTTGTCTGTTTTTTTTTTTTTTTTTTTAATTAAAGTATTAAATTAAAATTAAAAATCTTTTTTAGATCATCAAAAGCAAGCTGAAAAAAAATTGGCGGATGAAAACAAGCAAGACACATCAAAAAATGACAAAAGACGAAAAATAAAAACGGAACCGTCGAATGCCACCACCGTGCGTAAATTATTATTATTATTATTATTATTATTATTATTATTATTATTATTATTATTATTATTATTATTATTTCAGTACACTTTTTTAATCGGAAAAATTTTTATTTTCTGTCTGTAATACTTGTAGGCCGAACCCGGAGGTAAAAAAATAAAATTAGAACCTTTAGATGATTCTTTGCTCAGCGTGGATTCGACTCCTCAAAGTCCTACGAGGAGTGATTACTCATTGGGTAGCGGAGCAGTCCCACAGGATGAAACGAGTAATGATGGTTTCGTCGTCGATGTGGACAGTCCCGCCGGTTATACTTCCGGTGAGTCAAATAATAAGGAGGAGGAGGAGGAGGAGGAAGTGATTTGACGAACAATTTTCTTTCATTGTAAAGTCGTCGTTCTCATTCGATAGTAAAAATTTCAAATGAATATTTAAATTGTTTTTTTTTTTAATTACTCAACAGTTTGTCGCGATTGTCAGGCAATTGATTGTTACTTATTCATTTTTGTCGATGCGTTGAATTGCGTTTGTTTGTTTGTTTGTTTGTTTTTTCATTCCTACACTTTTCAATTATTTTTTTTTAGCCTTAAAACTAATTGGAGCAATTATAATAATGTATGCGGTAGTAAAAACGTTTTCGTGCATGAAAATTTTTCCATTTGATGTGCAACGACGACGTTTTTGTTGTTGTTGTTCTCATTGTTTGTCGACGACGTTTTCTCACGGTGACCACAATACGTGAACTATCATCATTAATTTTTCTCTCCGTGTGCGTCTGTAATTTTAGTTATTTAATAATAATAATAATGTGACCGGAACTTTGTCGCGCGATCATAAAGATTTCTTTATTATATAAATTCGTTCGCTTAAGTATATGGTTGTTTGTTTGTTTGTTTTGTTGTCAGGGCCGTATATACGCTCCTAAAATTTATTTTATTGCCATAATAAGAGAAGAGAAGGGAAAAACAAATGCGTACATTCATTGCTAGATAATTTTTATAATTACAATCATTCGACATAAGGTGAATACCTTAAAAAAAAAAAAAAAAGATGATGAAAACCCAATTTTTTATATTAGCCATAATAATAATTATTATTTCGTATAAAGGAAGTAAATAAACTGTTGCCACGTTGCAATTATTTACTTCCTTTTCATCAAATTATTCCTAAAAAAAAAAAATTAATAAAAAAAAAAAAATCGTTTTGTGTGTGAAATTAAGGTACACACATTATGAACGAAGGTAAAAATATTTAAACATTTTAATTTTTTTCCCCGGCAGGTTTGAATACAAGCAATAATCCGTACAATAATCCATTGGGAATCGGATCGCTCAAAGTGAAACCTGTGTCTAGAGGATCAAGGAGGGGTCGTCCGCGTGGTCTAAGGAGAGGAAGTTGCAATTCGGTATCGAAAAGGTATACGGGAGGAATCAAATTACCCGGAGAAATGTTCATAAGCGGTGGTAAGTTTAAAAAATGATTTTCTAACCCTCGAGCAACGCGCACGTTCGAATTAAGTTTAAAAAATAATTATAACGTTCATTAAAAAAAAACCGTGGCAGAAGAAGAAAAAACGAAAAAAATGAATTAATTATTACTTTTGAAGTTTATTGAAAAATTCTGGGCAAACGAAAAAAACTGCTTATTAATGGTTTAATTCTACTCCGCCACTAACTATTTACTAAGTTTTAATTAAAAAACAATTTTGACTTTTTCAAAAAAAAAAAAAAATTTCAAATATGGCGAACGTAGAAAAATTTAATGGGTAAAACGCACGACGAGGAAAATAAAAATTAGTCGGGTGCCAAATGAATAATAAGGGATTAGGTTCGAACGTGGCATTATCAAAGTCATTTTTAATTAGGGAAATTATTTGGAAAAAAAAAAATAATTTTTGAAAATGAGAAAGAAAGAAAGAAACAAACGAACAAACAACGGTTGAAATTAAATTTCCGCTCGGGATGTTTATCAAAGGAATTAAGTCACGACAATTAAGAAAACAACAACAAACAACAAACAACAACAACAACAACACAAAAAAAGAGTTAATATTTGTTTAAAAACAATTACGTTCAATCGATTTCGTTTCCGCGTTTCGAAAGAAGAAAATTACAGGTTTACTGACAAAAACGGCACTCAAGATGCTACCGAATATAATAATAATAATAATAGTAAATAATAATAATAATAATCAAACTCATTAGTCTGAACGATTATTAACCGGCCGGATAATTTTGTTTTTTTTTTTTTTTTTTTTTTTTTTTTTTTTGGTTATGGTTTCAGAAAGTCCGGAAACTCCGGTCGAAGCGGCACCCCCTACGAAACGTGGCAAAAATTTAAGTTGTAGCATTTCTGGAAATTTAAAAAGGGGTCCGGGTAGACCGCGTATGAAACCTTTCATGCCGGGAAATAGAGGAACGAGAGGTCCTTCGAGAACGAGTAGGAAAACTACGGCACCTCTTCAGGTACCGATTTCGAGATCGTCGGAACCTTCTTCGCCAGCCGCCGCCACCGCGAGTTCCGGTATCGATACTCCAAAACCATACGGATTTTACATGCCATGTTCCAGCGGTCCGGAATAAATAAATTGTTTGGATTTTACATGCCATGTTCCAGCGGTCCGGAATAAATGAATTGTTTGGATTTTACACATATATCGTCCATTTTGTTTTTTTTTAAATCGAGTTATTGCTTAGAAAGTTGGAGACATAATCAATTTATAGTATTTATAAATCGAAAACTAATAAAATAAATTATTAATTTCGATAGGAATTCAGTCGACTCCCACACACACACAGATAGACAGTTAAAAATTTGTACCACAGAATGTGTACATAAATAAATAATAATAATAATAATGATGGTGATGATAAAAATTTTTTTATTAGTAATTTTTACAGTTGTTAGTCAATAGGAAAAAAATTAAATAATTTTTTTTTTTTTTTTTCTCTAAAATAAATAATTTTTTTCAAGTACAATTTTTAATTGCATTTTTTTTTTATTATTATTAGTGAATTAATATGTAAATAATAATAATAATAATAGTAAATTTAGAATTTTCCGTGTTGAAAGAGAATAAAATTAAATAAATAAATTTTTTTTGTAAAATGTGAACAATTTAAAGTTTAAAAAAAAAATAAATAAGTAAATAAATAAAAGAGATTTTTGAAAAAAAATTAATTTTTAATAATTTATTTATTGTTAATAAAGTGTAAATGATAGGAAATGGTTTTAAAAAAATAATTTATTAATGTTTTATGGTTAACCAAAAAAGTTTATATCCTGGATGTGGTGGTGGTGGTGATTGTGAATGGATTAAAAATAAAATTAAATATTTTATTAATTTCATCATATAGTACGACTTATTTAAAAATAAATTTATTTAAATTGTGATTAAAATTAAAGGTTAGTAGAATCGGGAAATAATTAATGAATTGCCCCCTCCCCCCCCCCAATTAAAAATTATACATCCTTCTCTTATTTGTTACATATGAGAGAGAGAGAGAGAGGGAAAAGAAATTTCACTTTGATTTAAAAAATAAATGAAGAAGAATCGGTTTTGGTCTTTTTTAACTGCCTACGGCACTGATAAAAAAAAAAAAAAAAAAAGTACACGAACGTAATTATAGTTTCATGATTTTTTTTTTCTATGAGAGATTGTTTGCATCCGAATTATGATAGAAACAATCATGGCGGAAATAATTAAAATTTTAAGGAAAAATTGTAGTGAAATATGAGAAAATAAAAAAAACTATGACAATTATACAACATGTCTTCTTCTCTTTTAATTATAAATAAGATTTTTACTCTTGAGTGAATTTTTCCTTTTTTTTTTCTCATACTTTATTTAATTTTTAACAAGAAATCATTTTTGTCTTCCCTATGGGACACGCCCCCCCCCTTTTTCTAATATTTAATTTAAAAGGCTTGAATGGAATTTAAAAAATTAGATTTAAAGATTTTAATTTCCTTTTTAGAAATATACAATTGTTAATAATAATGTAAAAAGTTGTTAGGGTTGAGCTTTTCTAAAAAAAAAATTTCAACAGACTTGACTCTCATATTGAAATCTCCATTTAAATATTATAATAAAATAACAAAATGAATTTTAAAATATAAAATGAAAAGAAAATGGAATTTAATTCGTGTTTTGAATAATAAATAACCGTTATTTAATTCAAAAAATAATATTTGCAAACCTTATTCGAATTATTAAAACATCCTTTTTATTAAAATGATTAATTTCATTTTTATTTTATTGTTATTATTATGAAAGAGAGAATGAACGAGGATAATTTTATCGTGGCATTTGAAATTAAAACCACGTAAATTTTGTATTTTAAACAAGTAAGCAGTGAGTTATTATAACAAATTAAAAATGATAATGAAAAAACCGACAAAGGTAAGTTATATTATATTTCAACTTTTTCATACGATTGATAAAACAATAAAAAAAAAAAAAAAACTTTTCTTTTTTTTTTGCTTAATTAATAAAAAAATGAATGTTTATTTAACGCGTTTTTATCTTATCGAAACGAATCAAGTTTTACATTTCAATAATGAAATCGCAGCTTTTGTTCTTTTTCGATTGTCACCCTATGAAAATTCCGTTACTTTTATCTTTTCAAAGATGGCGACGAATTTTTTCGAACGCTTTCTCGTTTTGACCACTTTGCTTTTTTTTTTTTTTTTTTTTTTAATAATTTCTAACTATTTATATTAAAAAGTGATGGAAATTTGTGTTTTTAAGGTAATTTTACAATTCAGTTTAGTTTTTTCTAGTTATAAATATCATTTTTTCAAAAAAAAAAAAAAAAGGAAAAAAAAAAGTTCCACAAAATTTACACAAGAAATTATTATTATAATTTTTTTTCTTTTTAGATTTTTTTAACAGTACTCGTTGATGAGAAAGTTCACTGAAAATTAAAAATTTTAATTAAAAATATTTCATTCAACTGCAAACATACACACACACACATTGTTATCGTGGTTTGTTTTTTTTTAAAGTAAGTTTATGTTTTTTTTTTAATTTAATAATTATTCAGTAGTCGATCCATTATTTAAGGATTTGCATTCATTTATATTTTTTTTTTAGAAATTTATATTTCCTTTCTGTTAAATATTTTATATAAAACAAAACAATACTAGTTTTTTTAATTCTTTTCATTTTGAATTTGTGCAAATATAATTTTTACATTTAGGAAAGGTTTTATGTCTATTTGAAAGTATTAGGCATGTGTATGGACGCCATTTTATGTTATATGTTTTGTCTTAAACAACAATATAAATAATTTTTTTTCGTTGGAATTTATATTTTTGGAACAAATATATATATATAAATACGCATGCTCAAATTTAAAAAAAAAAAACGATTTTTATCTTTTTCTTTTTATTTTATATAAAATTTACTAAACTTAAAAAAAAAATTTCTTGTTTCTTTGCCATTCAAAAAAACAGAAAAAAATTATATATATATATATATATATATATATATAATATAATTAAATCATAACAAACAACAACTTAAAACTTTTTTATATATTTTTCACAAAAAGAAAATTTATAATTAATTATTTAATTAAATAAAAATGAAATAATTTAATTATTATAAACTTTTTGTTTTACTTTTTGTTTTCAGTTTATACAATTAAATAAGTTTATAAAAATAAAATTTAATTAATTAATTTTATTGGTAAGAAGTGTTGTGAAAAAAAAAAAAACTTGAGTAATTTTTAAATATTGTTTTTTTGTAACATGATTCATGTTTTGTCATGTTTTGATTTCCAGTTTTTTATACAAGTGATGAATTATTGTTTAATTATAATTATTTATAATGTTGTTTTTAAGTTTTTATGTTTTGTCACATGTAGAAAGTTAGTGAAATTTATATATATGTAAACACCTAAAGAAGAATAGAAGAAGAATATGGATATATATATAGGAAGACCTAAAGAAGAATATATATATGTATACACCTAAAGAGAAAAATTTTGTCAACAATAATTTGTAAATAGTTACACATAAAAAAAAAAAAATGGGTAAAATATTTATGTTTAAAAGGTTATTTTATGTATTAGGTTTATGAAATCATATAATATTTTTTTACATTTTAATATTTAACAAAAAAATTTATGTTAAAATTTAAAACAAATTTTGTATTATGTTGGAACAAATCAAATGTCATTGGTAAAAGAAATTAGGAAAAACATTTCAATTCAAACTCAAATCTAATTTAGTTATTATCATGTATTTGTTAATAACATTTTATATAAAATTATTTAAATATCACTTTTATTTTTAAACAAAAACAAAAAAAATTGTCATTTATAATAAAAAGGAAAAAATCTGGTTGACATTGTTATTAAGTAAAATCTTTTTTTAACTTTTAGGGCAAATTTGTTTATTTTTTTAATCAATTTTTTCTTTCTCACGTAACGATTTAGTTTTTAATTAAAAAAATTTTAAAAAACAAATAATATAACAACAAACAAAAAAAATCTCTTTTTCAAATCAAATGACAAAAAAAAAAAAGGAATGTGAAATTTAATTTATTTCTAGTACATTCTCATTCACATTCTACCTTTTTTTTTTTCAAATAATAATAATAATTCGGTTATAAATAAATACTATTTAATATAAATTCATTTAATACATTCATTCAATAAATTTACTACTTGTCAGTATTGTTTTGATTTTAACAAAATAATAATAATAATAATCCGGAAGTTATAGAATAGAAAAAAAAAAATTTTTTTTTTTTTTTTTTTGGCAGATTCTTTTAATTCTGGCCAAAATCCAATGGTGTATATATTGTTTTTTTATTTTTATATATAAAAATATTTTTTTAAAAATGGAAGTTTAGTCGTTCAAGCTATTTATTTATTTATTTAATCGAAAAGACATTTTATTATTATTATTGTTCCAATGAAGGTAAAAAATTATTTGCAGACGAATTTTTTCACATGACAATAACAATTATTAGGTGTTTGAATATGTATTGTTTTGTTTTTGAATTATTTTGCATTGTAAAATAAAAACTCTCATATTTAATTATCTTATTCGAATCTTATTAATGTGTCAGACGGTTAAAAAAAGATGACACATACTTTAAATTTACATGTCTCGTTTAAATTTTGTTTTTGTAAATTTGACTCGCGGAAATTGTTTATTTAGACTCTTTATAACATTTCATATAAAAAAAAAAAAAAATTAGCGACACTCTTTAATTTTTTAACACATTTTTAATTTTTTTTTTTTTTTTTTTACAATTAATTTTTATTATTAAAATTTTTTTTTTTTATTTCGTCTCTTTTACGTTTGAATGAAAGACAAAACTAATTAAGTTTACAACCATTGTTGTTGTTGTTGTTGTTGTTGATTTTAAATATTTAAAAAAAAAAAAATTTCATCCGTTATTCTTTTTTTTTTTTTCCCCTAGATAAATAAGGATTGAAAATTTTTTTTTTTTTTTTTTTTAAACATTTTATTTTATGTAAATTAATTTAAATAAATTTACTACTTACATTTTACTCAATGAAAATTTTCCTTATGAATTTATAAAAAGAAAGAGATAGAGAGAGAA